ACGTAATCCACCAGCAAACAAAAGAACTATTGAATTCTTCAAGTTGTGCATCTAAAGAAACTCTTTATAAAATGTGGGCATTTTTTTTCTGTATATATATGTTATAAATCTTAACACATCATAATGCTCATTAATTCATCGCCAACTTTCTAATTAAAGTCAAATTCATAAGTTCATTGCGTAGAAAATCAGTAATATTTCACTTCACCGTACAAAATTCGCTACAAAAACATTGCAAGTTTCTAGGCTTTTACTAAAAATAAATGCCAGACATTTTGAAAAAAAAATCGTTTGGTTGCAAATCGCAGCCAATGCATAATTAAGTTATTGTGTCTTAAAACAACAAAAAAGGCGTAAATGCTAACAACATTATCTAAGCGTCGAGCGGAAGCGGCAACAGACGAGGACCAGGAGTGCAAGAGCGGCGGAGGAGTGGGTGAGAGGAGAGGGAAGCACAGAGAGAGCTTAAACAACCAACCAACGAGACGACAACTCCAACAACCAGTTGCAAGCCTGATTCAGACCGTCTATGTCTGTCCGTCCGCCCCTTCGTCTATGTCTGGCCAACCACCACGACGTGGCAATATGCGTTGCGTGTGCAGCCCAAAATCTGACTACGGATTCCAGACACCGGACGACGTGCAGGAGCTAGGAACTGGGAGCTAGAAGCTGCTGCAGGCCGACCCTTTTTGCTCGTGTCATGGAATTATATTTCCTATGGGCGGTATTTTGAGGCCCGCCTCCTTGCACACACAACTGCCGGCGATGATTGCTCAGACGGTATAATTTGTAATCACGTTGAGTGCAGCAACGGCAACTTGCTCTTACCCCCAAAAAAATCAAACAAAATCCGGGGGTTGTCCGGCCTGGCTTGGAACTCCTGCTGCTGCTGAAGCGGGCTGCTGTGTCAAGTGGTTGTTGACTGCCTGATGCTTAGCAAGGTCTTAGCTGTTATTACGCTCATGTGTCCTTTTTTGAAGTGCCCACCCAGCCAGGCCATGTGCTCTCTCCTCTCTCGCGCTCCCTCTCCCTCTCCTCCTTGTGTGAGTTCATATTTTATTTAGCATCTGGCTGCTCTAGTGAATTTACCGCACTTGCTCTTTCACTTACACTCATTCCTCTCGCTCTCTCTCTCTCTCTCTCTCTCTCGCACTTTATCTCTCCCTCTCTCTTTCAGTCTCTCTTGGATTTTTTATGGCAGCTACAGACATTTTGCCAAGTTAATCTCCGGTTTGTTTTTCTGATAATGGGTTTGTCAACGCTACTTTGTGTGACCCTCTATTTGAGTACTCAGTTCATCTGTCTCTCTGCATTTGTATATATATATATATACATATATATATATATATATATATGTATGTGTATATATACGTGTGTGTGAGTGTTTCTCTGTATTTGAAAGTGTGTGTGTATTTGTGCAATTGTAGCTGTGTCTGTTGGTCTTATCCGCCTGTTGGCTGCCTTGGTTCAATGCTACAGAAAAATGTTCTGAGTGCTCTGAATAAGATTGATATAGACAGGGAAATACCCTGCAAAATGTTAATAAATAAAATGCATAACATACCCAATGAGAAGATATAATATGATATCTAGTGCAAGCTAAAACTGGATCTGTCTAGATATGCACTCCCCCTTATTATTATTCACCCATACTTAAATACTTATTATTAAAAATAATAATGCCATATTTCCCACAAAATCTAAATATTATTTTGTCTGTATAATTTCAGTCTCCTTAACTTATTTACACCTATTATTTGTTATACTTAAATACACATTATTACTAATAATGTTCCAATATTTTTAAACCTGATTTGTCTATATAATTTCGCTGTGCTTAACTTCAAATCGATTTCGATTTGCACCCCATTTACCAGCACGTTACAAATATTTCCTTATTGTCGAAGCTGCCCCACTCGCTGATGTTATTGATATATTAAAAATGGTGTTGCTTCATGCCAGCCACGCCCACAAATTTAAGCATGTACACGCCCAAAAATTAATCAAGCTGCTGTTGTAATATTTCGACTATGAATTTCCTCTGCTCTGTGGCGGCTGCTGCTGGTTTTGCTGCTGCTGCTGTGTTGCGTGGCTCAAATTGTTGCACTCAACTCCAACTTCGCCACCTGCCCAACACCCCAAATTATTTGTTGGTGGGCGTCACTCTGTACGTGACATTTTCAGCGGCAGCCGGGACATTTGGGGGATGCGCCCTGTGGCTGCTTAAAAGAGATCTCAAATGTTGTACATATATGTACAGTCGCGAGAAAATTAATAGGATCATGTTTTCAGAGCTGTATTTCTGTAAGCTGAATGAACTTTTGAATACATTTTTAAAGCAGAAAGAAGACTCGTTAAAAAAGCGAGAATGAAAAATACTATTATTTAATTCCCCGTTTTCAACCTGTTTAAATTTAGTTGAAATCAAAATTAAAACTTATAACACCTTAAATAATTGCAAAAAAAAATATTCATTTTTAAAATATGTGAAAATAAATAATTGATTTCCATAAAAAATTCATAAATGATGCTATTATTTTTTTCGTTACTTTTTGACACTTTTCCCTTAAAAAAATATTATATAAATAAATATACATATATTCTTATTCGTATATATTCGTAAGAAAAGATGTTATAGTGGTTCTATTATTTTTCTCGCAACTGTATGTATCTGCCCCACAGCTAAAGCTGAACTTGACAAGCTCAATTAGAGGCGGGCACGCCATGGAGGCTGCTGCTGCTACTGTTGCTGCAATTGCTGTTGTTGTTGATGCATTCCGCATTAATAAAAACCCTTTAAATTAATTGCTGTTTTAAGCAGATTGAAACTTGTTATACAGCAGCACAACCCAGTCGAGCAGCAGCAGCAGCAAAAAGAACAATGCGTGTGTTAATAGCTGCAGCTTAAGCAGTTGTTGCCAATGCCAAACTCATGGCTACCAACCCAAACGGCCAAATAGCCAACCCAACAAGCCAACGTTAACCTGGCCAGGCGTTGACTTCAATTGCACGCAAAGCCAGCTCAGCACGAGCAGAAGTAGCGGTTGGGCTGGGTGGTTTGATTGTCAGTACCACCCACACACGTTGCACTTAAGATGATAATCATGTTTACGTGGCGCAAGTTAAATTGCTAACGTAATGGACTAACAGCAGGTGAAGAGCTGGTGGAACCCTTTTCCTGCTCAAGCAGCTCATGCGTGCCACTCCTGCTGCTGGTGCTCCTGCTGCTGCTGTTGTCAGCTCCACATTTTGGGGCAAGCACCTACAGTGTTCCAACTTGCAAGTGGCCAACAAGGCTTGCCACAGCAACAACAAAAATATTCAAACAAAAAACAAACCATTTGTGTTTGGCCGAACGGATCGACATGTGTGGGGCAGGAAGAGAGATCCTGTGTGTAGTTGCTGCTGCTGCTGCTGCTTCGCTTCATTGGACAACTGAATATGCAAATTGAATTGAGCGTATTATCGACGAAGCTAGCGTCGATGATGATGGCAACTGCAGGTAAATTGCTTCTCCGCCCGCCTCTCGCCTCCTCTCCATGCCCAGTCATCACCATCAACATCAACATAATCGCTCAAGCCAAGCGCTTTGCAGCAAACGGGAGATTCAGTTGCCAAGATGCCAGCGCCAAATGGTGCACAAAATTAAAATTTTAATGGCCAGCAGCTGGCGCTTGCTTGACTTGTTGGTGCAAACAACGGCTTAGCCAGCAAACCAGGCTAAAAGGGCTGCTACAAAAGCACACACATGTATACTGAGTGTTTGTTGCACATAAAAACTAAGCCGTCTACGAAATGTGAGTGACTTTTACAAATTACAAAGCTGAAATAATTTAAAAATAAATATGTAACTATGTAATTGCCTTTGAGCTCGAAAAGTCAAAGGTCACTTAATCAAAAAAAGCATTAAGTTAGTGAAACAATATATGGAAATAAAACAGCCTTCATGCGCAAAGAGTAAAGGGTCACTTAATGAAAAGTAATGATTCTCTCTTAGTCAGCTTTTACTCTTTGAGTTTGAGGGCAGTTTTATTTCCATATATTGTCTCATCAACATGACTGCAATTTTAAGATAGCTTAACTTAATTCAAAGCATACTTTCAGGCTGCGGTTATAAAATTATTTGTATTAACTAATTATATGACTCACTCTCTCTCTCTCGCCCTCGCTCTCCCGCACTCCTGCTCTCTCTCGCTCTTGCTCTCTCGTTCTTAAGCACATTCTCGTTTCTCTTGAGAGTCTTCTCAGTGTTCGTGTCGTTGATTGTTGATTGACGCACCTAAAGCAAAAACTGAGCCAAGTGTTTCGGGCATGAAACCTTACTACCTATAATATATGCACACTATATCAAGAAAGTCTTTTGACAATGGAATAATTCTTAGTTGTATTATTCTTAAGCAAAAAAAAAAAAATATTCTACAATTCTGTAGAGTTTATGAAACTAGTTAAATAAATAAAAATAGTTAAATAAAAAGGAATAAGATTAAGATTCTTTCTCTAGAAATACTTAATTATTGTGTTAGTTTCTTTAACTACTTAAAAAACAAAAAGTACCAAGATTCAATAATTTAAGCAACTTTGTATTTTTTTTAACCATAACTATCCATTCTTTCGACTGTCAAGAAAGACAGCCACTGAGCTTTGTCAGATCATTTTTACATATGAAAAGAAATCATACGAAAAAATGCCAGATTGGCAAAGAATCCCAAAAATTTCAATCAGATCCATTATGAAATATAAGATAATACTAGAACGAAAGGGAAAGAAATTAATTTGATGCTTTGTCAAAACACTTTCTTGACCTAGTGAATGGGTACACTCATCCACTCATCATATTGTACGTACGTGTATATATGTATATGTATAAGCATATATGCCGTGGTGTGTTGAAAGTTGCCGTAAACCGCTGGCGAGCAGCAGCAGCAGTCAACGCCGAGCGCTGAGCCCGAGCGGCCGCGATTTTCCGTTAACAACTAACTGTAAAAGCCACAGCGCAGCAAAAGCGCGAAAAGAAACTTTTGCGCAAAAGCAAAAACGAAAAAACCAGAAGCAAATTTTAGAATTATAGCGCTATGTAAAATTGTCAAACTGAACAAATTGGAAAACTGCAAAGCGTTGGAAAAAAATACACCCACACACACACACATGACGACAGTGAGAAAGACCACGCCCACAATGCCCACGCCCACGGCGACGATGCTGCGACGCCGGCAGCTGCTGCACAGCGTTGAAAGCTTGCGCGGACGCGTTCGTCAAGTGCTAAATTGTGTTATTAATTTGCACATTGAGTTTTTGGTAATTGACAAAAACTGAAAGCGAAGCGAATATAAATCAAACAATTTGCATTTGCCATTTGAACGGCATTCATGTCACATGTCACAGAGAAAGAGGCAGAGAGACAGTGTTATTGTCGAAAGCTCTCGTCAGCTGATAAGACAACAAAAAAAACAAATCAACAACTCTTCATTTATTTGTTCATTGCTTACAAGCGACGCTCTGTTATCATTTGTTGGGCTTTCACTTTGGCTCCACAGTCAGCTACTCTTATCAGCACCAGTAAAAGTATCTTAAATGAGGCATTAAATGTGCTTCTCTTTGCTTGTCTTGTCTCTTGGCGTGTGGCTGTTGTTAACAGTTGCGACACAGATTTGCAACAAGTTAATGCAATTATAGCCTGCTATTGGGGGCAACATTCTCAGCATATGGGAAACAGTACCCGCTAACAGGCAGTAGACAATGGGTTATTATTAACAAAATATGTACACAATTTGTAAATGTGAAATGCATAAAATACTTAATTGAAGCCCATCTATGTCATAACTGTGAGAAGTCATGTGGGTTTCGAAATTTATAATTAAACAGTGGGGAAAATTACACTAGTAATAAGTATTCTTCGTTCTAGTATTAATTTACTTGGTCAAAGAGTAAATAAATTAGGCAAATGATCTTAGAGTAATAGGATTAAGTGGTCAAGTATATTATATGTAATTTCTAGCAATTCAATAATATTATTTGTTTTAAGATTCTTGTTCAAAGACTTACTCAAAAATAGCACATAAAATCTTAAGATAGGCAAAGAACCTTAAAGTAAAAGTACTGCATTTTCAAGATATATTCTAGCCTTCATTCAAAACTATTAACTACTTTAAAATCATTTACCTATTCTATGATTTTGTATGCATTTTGAGTAAATCTCACTTTAATCAAGAAGAATGTGTACACAAATGTACAATCTCGATTTCATATAGATACATATTTGTTTCATTGTGGTCTGTGTTGAGTGTTCAATTATTGTGACACAAGCTTAGTTTGTGTGACTCACAGCATTTTCTAATTAGTTGCTAATAGAGTATAGATATAAAGGGGAATCGATACAGTGCATAGATTTAGTTTTAAATGAGAATCTGAGTCGTCAACGAAGAATGAACAGAGAGATGATTAACTGATAGACAGTCAAGAATACTACTTTATTTATTCCAAGGGCCTGGCCTGAAGGCTATCAGAGAGCGTAACGCTGTAATTTGAGCCACGCCCTCAGCTCGGTTCAACGCGCCACAGCAAATCGAGCGAAGTAAGCGATTTTTCAGCTAATCTAATTTGCAGCTTGTTGTCGCTTTTGCAACACAAACACACACAGGTGCTGGAGTCCAATGTGGCCGCAATGCTGGACGAGGTGAGATGCCTCAATGATGACTATGCCGAGGTGCAGCGATTGGATACTTTGATCGAAGCGTTGCGCAACTACAATGGACCAACCATTTGCCACGAGTGGCCATATCCTCTGATCTTCAAGGGCACAATCGACGAGGCACACGTCGCACAAATACTCAACGCAGACACCAGCAAATCCAACGATCCACTACTGATGCAACCCACTGAGACGAGGAGCCTAAGTAAACGAGCAAGTAGAATGGGCTCAAGAAGAGCGAAGGGAACTATACTTAGTTGACTGTACGAAGTCTAAGTCTAATTCATATATTTTATGTTCTCAAAGCAGCTTGAATAGATAACTGTGTTCGTTCCAAGCCTTAAGTAAAGTCTAAGTCGTCTAATTCTAATTCACATATATTATGAACGGAACTCATTTTAGTTGACTTCAAGTCTTAAATTAAGTCGAGTTCTAATTCAAATATTTTATATTCACAAAGCATACCAAAAATATACGTAAGCCATAAATGTCAAGTGGTCTGTCGTCTGTTTCTGGCCGTTTAATTTACTGCGGTCAATCAACAGCTGTGCCACTAAATTATTGATACAGTCCCCATGCCCCACTCTCCCCATTCGTGCAACCGCAAGCGTCGCGTCGTTTTCATGATTTTTGCGGCATTCGTTTGACATGAGACTGAGAGCTGAAAGCTGAGAGGTGCATTGTGTTGCTGAGTTGCCGTGTTGCTGCCCCCACAGAGCCGCAACAGGTTACCGCATCTAATTATAAATGGCCTCACACACACATCCTTTGCAAGGACTTTCAAAGCAACCACATTGAAGTCAAGAATTAAATACAACAAGTGGTGTACTTGTCAGGGTTATTTTATTGTCGCACTCACGCTGAGAGTATTATTCTTTGAAAAATTGTGCTTTTCTAAGACATTAAGGATTAGTGATCAAAATTTTTATTCCAAGACTCTATCTTAAAAAATTGTATTTGGGGAGTGTTTCCCAAGATTCCTATGGCCATATCTTCTCCAAATATAAATCGATTATCAAATGTAACGGTGTTTTAGTCATGATTTAATGTCTAGAACAATATTATATTTAATTTGCAAAATGTGATTCTGGACCGAAATTAATGTCAAAATCCTAACCCAACAATAGCTGAAGGACACGGATCTAATCGTGCCACAGTATTAACTCTGTGAAAGCTCAGCCGATTTGTAAGATTAAGAGTGTTTTAATCATGGACCTCTAGAAAAATACTTCATTTTAATTTAAAACTCATAGCCCTAAAAATGCCCTAAAATGCCCTTCTTTGTAGAAATTTAATCTCTTATCGAGATATCTTACCTAATTAGTATGGTTTTATTATGCAACAGTATTTAATCCTTGTGAGCCCAATAGTTAATTTTTCAGTCTTGTAGGTTATGTAGTTGTTGGTTGTTGTTTGTTTCTTGTTGTTTTGGTTACAGCAACTGGCGCGCTATTAATTATAAATAAACCCAGACAAATAAAACAATAATAAAGAGCAAATGCGAAGCTGTTTGTGTGTGGGTGTGTGTGTGCCTGTGGGTATCTGCATGTATGTGTGTGTGTATGAATGGCTGTGCATCTGTTTGGTGTAAATTATTCATAACGGCATTATCAGCCTTTCTGCGCACTCCGAGCCTGATTAAATTGTTCGTCCAGGCGCTGGGGCCAATGAAGAGCGCCAAAAGCTAATGATGACATACACACAAATGCACACACCTACTGAAACACACACACACACACATATATATATATATATATATATATATATATATATATATTTATTTTTATACTCCTTGTGTTCTTGCAATATTTACTGCTCTGCGCTGTGCGCGCAATTTATCAACTCGTTGCTGCTTTTGTATTAAAGTGTGTGTCTGTCAGTGTGTTTCTGTGAGTGTGGTCATGAACAATTGTAACTGTGTGCTATAATTATTAAAAAGTAAACAAACAACAGCAGCAAAAGCAACAATTGAGATAATGAGCGAGAGACGACAACGACAACAGCAACAAGAGCGAGAAGCGAAAGTGAAAATACCACCAAGGTTAAAACAGACGCTGACAAAATGCACAGGAATTACATTGAGGGTGGTGGCAAGGGATGGGATATAGAAGGGTCAGAGGTTAAAGCGAGCTACCAGGTTTTATCTAGAGCAGCAGACAAACGACACGAACAGCGACAACAACAATTTAACCAACCAAAAGGTAGGCTTTTAACCATGCAAAATTAATGGCCCAAAAGGATGTCAACAACAACAAAAGCTTTAGTTAAATCGCCATCGAGAGGGATGGAGAGCGGAGGGCGACCTATCAATGGCATTGGCATACAAAAAATAACCATCGGGTGCAATTGAAAACTTTATGCAACTTTTCAACTTGAAACTTGCGTTTGTTGTGCGTAACACTTGGAAAAATAAACCCTGCTCAAGCTCAACTCAACTTGCATAGTTCTGTATTTATGTAGAATTTAACACAATTAGAGTGGCAGGCAATTGGCACTTGTTGCAGTGTAGTTCATTGAACGCAAGCAGCAAACAATAACAATTATCGTCAACGGCCTTATGCCTGGGCCAACAACACTCAGGCAGTTGGCTGGCTGCCTTGGGACTTGGTTGCCAATCAACAGTCGAGTTATTGAACCCTTCTCCACAACTACAATTAACCGTGCAGACATTGTGGCATTGAGCTCCTGTTGCTCCTTTTCTTTTGACTAACTGCCTCTTCCAACTGGCATTTTTCCGGCCAGCTGGCAATATAAAATGCCAACGCACGCACATTCTTGATGGCCTTTTGGTTTATGCCAATTTTTTATGGCAACAATTAAATTCGAATTGCTGTTGTCTGTGCTGTCTTTGATTTGGCAGCAGCTTCAGCTACACACTGTCTACTCTCTACCCTCTCCCCTCTCTCCCCTCCCTTAACTTGCCGACATGTCTCTAAGCATCTCCCTCTCACTCTTCGGTGTCGCTTGTCTGACTCTGGCGTAGACTTGACTACGATTTCGTGCGTGCTAATTGTTTGAGGCCTAGACTTGACGAATGCATATGTTAGTAGCTCTCTCTCTCTCTCTCACTCTGACTATCTCTCTGTCTCTCTCTCACTATGTTGCTGCGCTATCGTTTAACTTTTGCATATGGGAAGCAACAGCAGAATTGGAGCTGGAGCAGACAGTCGACTGGCACGTGAATCCATTATGATGGCAGCCAATTATGTGCGTGTCTTTCACTCAAAGCTACTCAGTAGGGTCGTAGGGTGTTCGGCTGGTAGGCTGGTATTGCTCACAGATTGTTAGGGTGTTAGGCTGCTGCTGCTGCCATACGCAATTGCAAACTGTTTCCTTCAGCAACAACAACATCGAAGAGACGACCACGAAATATGTTTTTAATGCAAACGACTTTGAGTGCGAGTTGCACGGCCAAGGTGAACACGAAAGACGCTAAAACGAATCTGTTAAAAGCTGTAAGCCGTAACGAAATAGCTTTTAAATCCAGTTAGTGTTCACATTTTGATAATGTGCTTCAATGCGTTTAGTCGTTACTTATTGAGTTAGTATTTGGCATTTAGATAAACCGTCATGTTTTCTTTTGAATATGAGTTTATAGTTGAGCTTAGATTTCTTTTTAATAAAATGAGTAAAAAGAGTTGACTTTACTTTTGTAATCTTCATTTTAGTTAGTTTGATATGTAAGTCCCAGTGTTGATTGTTGTCTTTAACTTTCTAGTCACTATATCTAAACCTACTACAAGCTCGAAATAGGTTTTAGCTCGCGCAACTTTCGCCCTTAATAAATTATGCTGATGGGCCGCACAGAAAGCCTTGTAGCGCTCAACGAAAATGCAAGCAATGTTTTGGTATGTTTTCGAAACTATTGAATAGTAAGTCAGTCTAACTGACTGACTGTCTGTCTGTCTATCTGTGTGTTTCTGGCAGTCGGCCGATTTGACTGCCGCCCTAAAAGCGCTTTAAATAAACAATCTAATAGCTGAAATAACGTAGCAATAGGCAAGGTAATAACTGACAGAGGGAGCGAGAGAGTGAGAGAGAAAGGGGGAGAGTGTGTGTGCAAGTGAGAGGGCCTATATCTATTGGCCTGGCCTTATGGGGGCCCTGTGGCTGGTATTGTGCACGTCTATGGCAACCGCGCGGAGAAAATCGGTATATGTATAACCCGAATAAACAAACTAATAAAACATGCTTATGCCCCGTGCCAGTGGCGGTACTCGCTACACGGTCCTCGGTCCTCGGTCCTCAGTGCCAGTGCCAGTGCCAGAGACGACAACATTCGCAAAAATACCTCAAAAGACTGAAGGAGAGACCAGGAGCTGCAGCCGAGCCAGCAGCAGCAGCAGCAGCAGCAAACTCAAGTGGAGCACACAGCCAACAAATCGAACTGTAATTGAAATCGAAACTGAACTGCAAATTAGATAACGCACAGATACAGTTGCAGATACAGATACGGTTACAAATATAAATATAGAGCTACAGCTGCAGCTACAGACAAGAGTAATACTTGCTTGTTGTTGGGTAAGTTGAGTGGGGAAAAGTGTCTTGTTGGAAAATGAAAAATTAATACAATCTTTTTTTCTGCAGGATAACTCTCGTCCCGTATTATGCAACACTGAATACCAGTTAACTGTTAAACATGTCTGCAGAGCCTGTTGTTGGCCATCAACGATTATGAAACATAAAAGTGGAAGCCATACGCCAGAGCAGGACGACGACGACGACGGCGGCGGCGACAGCGACGACGACAACGACGACAACGACGACAACGGCGACGGCGTCTTTGGCATCTTCGGCGACAATTGCCCGGCGACGTACCTTAATGTCCATGGCAAAATGTCGCGGCAGGTCCATGTTAAACGATGAGCCAACCGAGCCCATGCCGCAAACCGCAGCAGCCACAACCGCGCCACAACAACAGCAACAGCAACCGCAACAACAACAGACACAACAACAACAACAACCGCAACAACAACAGAACTATTTACCTCAAACATCCTTGCTGAAAATCGAACCGTTTGTTCCTAGTTTTAATCAACGTTTGCGCCGGCGTCCTATTGGTCGCTCCCACAGCACCCTCAGCCACAACGTTATCCAGAAACGAGCCACCCAGCATCCTCCACAGCCCGAGCTCCTGGTGGGTCAGGCACATGCTCAGCACCAGCAGCTGCAGCAGCAGCAGCTGAAACGCAGTTATGCAGCAGCTGCTCAGCTGCGCAGTCAGCAGCGTCTCCATCGTGGACCCATCACTCGACAGCGCTCCAAATCCACCTCCTCTTCGGCCGCATCGAACAGCTGTCGTCCGGCAACGGCGGTAACTTCCTCAGCCACAGCTGGTGGTGGTGGTGCTGTTGTTCTTGCTGCCACGCCCCATACACTGGTGGGCAGCACGGGCGGCACACTGGTCAGTGGCGCCATTGTCACACCCCAGCCGAATGGTATCTGCCGGATACAGCGGCTGACCAAGGAGCGCGAGGAGTTGCCCGATCGCATTAATTATGATCGACGTGGCTTGACTGCCATACCCATATTCGAGCAGGAGCCCAATCTACGGCTGCTCTCGCTGCAACACAATCTCATAAACACCTTTCACATACCCAAGGAGCTGCCAATGCCGCCAGCGCCTCCGCAGCCAACGCCTCGAGATTGCAATATCAGCAATAACAGTAAGAGTTGTCCATGGGAAATTGCCTTTATTATTGTGATTCGATTTGCATTAAGTGAACTAATTATTTATTAATTGAAGTCACTCTTAACACACTTTCCCACTTACAGATGGGAGCAGTAAGACCACAACGGAGCCTCGTCCTCCAGCGCTGCGTGGCCATCCTGTTGGGCAAACGCACTCCCGTCTGACGCGTGCCATGACCAATGTGTGCAATAATAATAATCACAATATGAGCCACAACCATCAGCACCGCGTTTCGTCCAACTCTGGCAGTCCCTGCTCCGGGAGTCCACTGACCACCCAAGCGCTGGCCATTAACTCCGGCGGCGGCGGTAATCGTTCTAAGCTGGCCAAGCGGGGATTCAACTATGCCCAGGCACAACTAACACCGCCACCTGCTCTGCGACTGCGTTATGGCTTGGAGAAGTCAAAGAGCTTCGTCTCGAACAGTCTGCAGGCCATGAAGCATCACCATCAGTTAATGCAGCGCCGGCAGTTGTTGAAGGCCAACTTTGCCGGGGGTCTGCTGGCGGGCAGTCAGCATCTGCAGAGCTGCGATGAAAGCAGCGTGCTCAACAGCAGCAATCTCTCGCTGTGCGGCGTTGGCGAGGAGGAGGAGCCCAGCAGTGCCTCGAATGCAGCCCAGCAATTGGAGCAGCTGAGCATCAAGAATAAACAGTTAAGTCTGAGTGCCTGCTACGGCATCATCTTCCATCAACTCGTCTTTCTCGATCTTTACGACAACCAGATCGAACGCATTGCCAATTTAGATGGGCTGCCAGTTCTATCGGTGCTGCTGCTAGGCAAGAATCGCATCACGGACATTGGTGGCTTGAGTTCGTTGAAGACAACGCTGCGCGTCCTCGATCTGCATGGCAACAAGCTGACCAGTCTGGGCAGTCGCATTAACTGCCTGCAGCAGCTGAAATCCCTCAATCTAGCTGGGAATCAAATACGCCAGATTAATCAGCAGGATTTTCACGGCATGCGCTGTTTGCGGGAACTGAATCTAAAGCGGAATCGTCTGAGGCGAATCAATGGCTTTCAGCATCTGGTGGCGTTGGAGCGTCTCTGGCTGTGCCACAATGAGCTGCACAAGGTGGATGACATGGCGAGCATTGCGCGCGCTGCTCGCCTCCTCGAGGTGACCATTGAGAATAACCCCGTCTCCCTGGCTGGGGACTGTGTATCGTTTCTAGTCTCACACTTGCCACTGCTGCAGTCGCTCAGCCAAATGCCCATTACGGAGCAAGTGCGTCGCGCTGCGTTGGCCTGGCGACAGCACAAGGAACAGGCGCAGGCGACGCACAGCAGCTCGGATGCCTATCATCATAGTCGGCGGGAGGAGGTCATCTCGAATGCGCGCACCAACTGGGAACTGTTGCGCTCCCAGCAAACTCTGGGCAGGCCCAAGGGTAAGCTAACAAGCGAGCTGGCCAAGATTAACGAATCCAACGAGGCGGCTGTCGCGGAGGAGCCAGAGCTGAAGATGGAGCAACAGCTGCCACAGCATCAGCAGCCACAACCCAGGGATGAGATGGCCGAGCTGCAGGCACTGTTCAAACTACCACTGATTGCACAAAAGCCACTCGCCGAGGATGATGTTTCCTCGGAAGCATCGAGTCTTGGTCCCAATGTGGATTCCTGCTCCAGCTGCTACAGCACGGATAACGAGGAGATTAGCAAGCAGCAGCAGCAGCAAAAGTTAGCAACACTACAAGTCGATGAGAATTGCAATAAGCTGCCAGCGGCAACTGCTCCGCCTCCAACTGCGCCCGAACTCGCCACATCCAATTCATCTTCACCGCCGGCGTTGACACTGACTCCCCCCGCAGCTGGAACACCTGTGCCGGCTGCTACACCCACGCCACCGCCCACGACACTAACGCTGCCACTGCCCGCCTCCATTACAGCGAGCAGCACTCGTCCAGGCAGCAGCAGCAGCTGCAGCAACAAACAACGTCTGCGCCAAACACCCATCACCCAGCTGGGCTTGCAGGTAAATCGTGGCGGTGGTGGTAATCAGCCCGGCTGTAAGCGTTATATGACGGGCAGCCTGGTGCGCTCCCAAACAATCAGCAGCAGCACAAGCGCCAGCAATAGCAGCAGCTCCAACAGCGGCGGACGCGCCAAGCAAATCTCCAACAGCAACAGCAACAATAACAACCAGTCGAGTGCCAATGTGGTCTCACTGCCACAGGGCAAGCAAGCAGCTAGCCAATCCTCACCAGCAACAGCTGCTGCTGCTGTTGCCACTGCCACGCCCACCACAGCCATCACCGTGTCCAAGCCGAGTGCCGCGGAACGTGAACGGGAACAAGGCGGAGATTACCTGATTGAGATCTGTGGTAGATATCTCAATATTTATGGACAGGGTGCATTGCGCTTCATTGACAAGCAATGGAATCCGGCCAAGGCCAATGATGTGCACACTCTGAACTTTAGCTACATCAACTTCAATAGCATTGTCTGCATGCTGGGCAGGATTAAGATCAGGTTTCCGCATGCCGAGCATTTTGTGTTCCGCGAGACGAATATCAGTTCGCTGGGACAGCTGAATGCTTTGGCGGAGTTGCAGGGATTGAGTTCGCTGCTCATCGATGCCGAGGGCAATGCCATAACTGGCAAGCATTCGTGGCGCGCTTATGCCATCTATAGGCTATCCCACTGGGGACTTAAGCAGCTCAACGGGCAGGAGGTGAGCGAAGCAGAAATGGAGGCAGCAAATTCCTTATATTCCGGCTTATCTAATCTGGTGTTGTGGTCCATGCCGGATGGCATGCTGCAGCCGTTGCTAGCGCGTCTGCGTCTCGACGAGACCTGTACGGCCAGCAAGCTGTCACCTAAGGAGTGGCTCCTCCGGGCCGAGAACAAATCTCTACGCCTCGTCGTGGGCAAGGAGGCGCTGCAGTGGAAGAAGACAACGGCGACGACGACGACGACAACGTTGAGTAACGCAGAGTGTGGAACAACAGCAATGGCGCCCAGTGCCAGAGATCGTGGCAGGCAACACTTTGCCCTGCTGCTTGAAAACACATGCAGCGCTGTGGAGAAGCTGCACAAATTGGAGACGCTGTGGCCAAGCATGCTGCTGGACATTGTGCGCAACACGCTGCTCGACTATGCCCAACTGGATGTCTATCTGCGCAATCTGATGTCCGAGCTGATGAAGTGAGATCAAGTCAGAGGATGGAGGATAGAATGCCCTTCATGGTATGTAGAGTTTTTAGACTTAATTGCTTTTAGTCCAAAACAGCACCAAGTCAGTAAATAACGTAATTCCTATGATTCTAGGCATTTAACCCCAATTAATCCAATTGTAACCAATTCTTGTAAATCAACTAGTCCAATTTTTATATATATTTAACATTAACATTAAACTTAATTAACAAATATAAATAAAATAAATAGAAACTAAGCAACCAGGATTGACTTGTAAGTTAGGATACATATAACCAACAACAGTAATCGCTCGCTAACGTTGCAGTTTCGGAAATGTACAATTTATGATTTCTGATAGATGATTTGCCTATTTGAGGCTTATATCATATAGTTTCTGCCAAATTCTAAATTTCATTAACAATTATTGATTGAAATTTTTCGAACATTAAATTCAATATTTGTATATAAATCAGAAATAACAAAAATGGAACACTAGATAATTCAATGCGAAATATATTTAAAATTACGATTCTCATTTAAGATTAGTTCAAATTACAATTTCCGAGCGACTACTTTATGAATAAATGCAAATTCTACCTTTGCTACTAGATATATAAAAATATCTACATTAACAGATAATCCAAACTCTACTTAACCCATAATCTTCACCATTATTGGACTACTATTTGGCCTGCAATTTGTCGGCGTCATTGCTACTTCCTCCAGCTGGTTTCTGCGTCTTTTGCAGCTTGTCCACATAGATGTTGAGTATGGCCTCGATTCCCGGGTAGAGCACAAAATTGGTGGTGCGTATTTTCTTATCGATGAGATACGAAGTCACCGACTGTGTGTTGAAGGCAATGTCCATGGCATCGCTATGACTAACTTTGTCTAGCTGGTTGCGTGCAACTTTAATCACACAATTCTCGAAACCATTCACTTTGATGCTCAAATCGAGCTGGTAGCCAGCATCCACATCTGGCCAGCGCTGAGCCAGCACATCCTCTGTCCAACGCAGCTCCTCACTCTCCACATTCAGGCGACCCGGCACCGCCACAAACTTGGACCATAACTCGGAGGCAAAGTGTGGCGCCATCGGTGCCAACATGATGATCTGTGCGGCAAGAGCGCGTTCAAACTGTTTGCCATGACTCTGGATATGTTTGGGTGTACGCTGAAATCGAGATTGAATTGAGAATATAGATGGGGACACATTACAAACCGGACAGATTGGCTAGTTACCCTTATGGAATTGGTTAGACCCTGCATCTTGGATATGGCTACACTTAGCTGATGCGCATGGCGATAGTTGAAGGTGGCGCCTTTCACATAAAAGTTGCGTGCATCGAATAGCTTTGCATCGTCCTCCCGAAACACCGCGCTGGCAGTGTCCACAGCATCCGTTGCGTAATCCTCGCGAGCCGCACGAAACTCTTCCATTGTGAGCCACAATCGCTTCTGCCAGTTGAGTATGCCCGGAAAAGCTAAAATGGTAAGTAGCAATCAAAGAAGATTCTATTGAATCGTTCCACTTCTCGTCTAATACTCACTGGCGCTGGACCAGTTGCGATGCGAAGTGGGCGCCACATCGGCCAGGATGATGAGTCGCGTTGTATCTGTGCCATATTCATTGAACATGTCGTCGGGTTCGACGCCATTCAGCTTCGATTTGGACATCTTCTCCCAGCTCATGACCACTGGCTCCTGGCTCCCCTTAAGCACAGCCTGATTTTTTTTCGCATTCACAATCTCCACCTCCGATTCACGGACATAGCGGCCGCTGCCCTTGACACGATAAGAGCGACCCATGACCATTCCCTGGACGAGCAGACGGGAAAAGGGTTCAGATGTGGGCGACAGTCCGCAATTGTGCAGAAAATGATTCATGAAGCGGGCATAGTAGAGATGCAGCACAGCATGCTCCTTGCCACCAATATACAGGTCAACAGGCATAAAGTTTTTCGCTAGCGTCAGATCAAAAATGCTCTCCGTATTGTGGGCATCCAAATAGCGCAAATAGTACCAAGAGCTGTCCACAAATGTGTCCATTGTGTCCGTTTCACGCTGTGCATGTGGATCATCACATTTGGGGCACTCGCAGCGTAGCGCATCCTTACCAGCGTCGCGGGGAGGCAAGGTAACTGGTAACTGTTGCTCCGGCACGGGAACCGCTCCACATTTGGGACAGTGCACAATGGGTATGGGTGTGCCCCAGTAGCGCTGCCGCGAGATGAGCCAATCTTGCAGCTTGGACGAGACACGATACCCACCAACATTAAGTCGCCTGGCTGCTTGTAGCACCTCCTTGCGCAGCTCTTCCCAGTTGCCGGGATTAAGGTGTACCTCTTGCTTGCCAGAGGCGGCAAAAGCCAAATCGCAGCTGTCCCACAGCTCGCGATCTTCGGCACGAAAACTGGGCGCAGCCAAATAAACATCACAGTGCGCTGGAAAGGTGACCTCATCATTGAAGAGCACAGGCAGCGTCCTGCCCGCAAATGGATTCTCCACACTCAGCTTAGCCGCGTTCTCCACCTTCGATAGAAAGTGTTTGCTGCGCAGCACGAGAAATGCATGCGGATCCTTTAAGTGCTCTGGGTTGGCTGTCCACACGCGCAACAGATTCGAGGCGGAAGTAAGCAGGGTGAAGGCGTAACCATTGCACTCCCCAATCCAATGGCGCTGCAGATTGATAATATCGCGCCAATCACGCAGCGTTGGATCGTCGAGGCCATCAAGCAGCTGCTTGGCATACGCACTGGTGCGTATGAACCACTGTTTGAGCAGCTTCTTTTCCACTTTGGCGCCCGAGCGCCAGGAGCAGCCATTGGCATCGACCTGCTCATCGGCGAGCACCGTTTTATCCACGGGATCCCAGTTGACGAGTGCCTCGTTCTGATACGCCAACCCCTGCTTGTGCAGCATGAGAAACAAACTCTGTGTCCATTTGTAGTACTCGGGACTACTCGTGGATAGCTCGTGCGACCAGTCAAAGGAACATCCGAGTCGCTCCAACTGTTGCTTCATTTGGCCAATATTCTGTTGTGTCCACTCGGCGGGTGCCACGCCTCGTTGATTAGCTGCATTTTCGGCGGGTAGGCCGAAGGAATCCCAGCCAATGGGCTGGAACACGTTCTTGCCGCACATGCGATGGAATCGTGCAACTGCATCACTGATCGAGTAGACGCGCACGTGGCCCATATGCAGATTGCCGGAGGGATAGGGAAACATGGACAGCACATAGTATTTGTTTGACTTCTGCCTGGCATCAAACTGCTCACTCTTTAGCCGCTGTCGCCAATGTGTCTCAATACGATGTTTCACCTCATTTGTCAGCTCCAATTGCTTAAAGAAAAGCCAAAAATAAATATAATTTGGTATTTAGTTGATTCTGTTGCTTACCTCGTTGCCGGTGTAGCTCTGCGTCAGCAGTCGGCGGCACCAATTCAATTCAATGCCCCGCAGCAGGCACCTGTGACGCAATGCTTGCATATTGTTTATTTTAATTGACAAAATTGCACATTAAAACGTCTCTACCATAACGCGCTTATTAAATAACAAATTAAAACGCAATGTGCAGATGTAAGCAGCTGTTCGCTGTGACAGCGTTGCCACATTGTTCGATTCGCTTTTGGTGTAGGCAGAAATTTTTGGCGGGAAACACTTTTGACTACGTGGCAACTTAATAATAGGGTTGTGTTTGTAGTCTTTTTCTTTTTCATCGATGTGGCCACTTAGTCGTTGCACTTTCGCCATAGCTGCACACGTAATTTTTCACAGGGCGTTTTTATTCACAAGTTTTGTGTGTGGTATTCATTTATAGACAATTTGAATTGTGCAATTAAGTACAGAAAATAGTGGAATACGATGGGTGATTCGCTGGACAACACCGACACGTCGGTGGATCCAGCCGTTAACCTGTCCATTGCCAACTATGATGCATTTGCAAATTATCTCCGGAAAGCTGTCACCATTCTACTGCCGGAGGAGGATGTTGTGCCCGAGTCCTTGAATAATGCTCTCGACGATCCCATTAATCAGGAGACTATTCGCAAGTTCCTCTCCGATCCGCAAGTGCAGGCGTTGTACGTGCAGCGGAATTGCATTAAAGGTAAATTAATTTTCAATTTGCATTTGCCAATCAGACAAAAGAGAATGAGTAAATGCCAACTGGACAAAATGGCGTCGGTGAAACGCTATAGAATGAAGAATTTCCTTGGAATATTTGGAAAATGCATTTTCTATTTCGTAAAAAAACATATTTAAGGCACCAAATATATTTTTCTTAAAGTGCACTTTGCGTTTTGGTTAAAAATCAATTGCCAACTATGTTTTTTATGTTTTCGGTGCTGGCTACTGCGCATGACGTCATGCGCAGCTGACTCACCATCAACTTTTTATGGCACAGCAAACAGGTTGTGAATATGAAATGCGTGACATGTGTGTGTGTTGGAATTATGTTTGCGGTATGTTTTTGCGTTGATTTTTTTTATTATTATAGAATTTATATAATTATAAGCATGAGAATGCCGAAAGTTTGACACGTGTGACGTCATTCTTAAGGAATAATATCGTTGCCATGTTACTCAATGCAACCCTCACGCTAACTGGCTGAGCAGCCAGCAACTGTAAAGTGTTGCCGGCTTGTTGAGTAATCAGTGTGACCAGTTGTTGCGCGCTCGTTGCCGGCAAATAAACAAACCAAAACAAAACGCCAGCTGTTTTCACTTTGTTTGCGGAAACGTGTGCGACCTTGAGCCCGCGTTGCTGCCTGTGTTGTGTGTACATTTCGTTGACTTTGCGACTGCGATGCGATGGCTCGCATCAGGGTCAGGCAATGTGAGAATGTGGCAGTCTGGGGGTATGTGGGAGCAACGCACGCTCAAGGTTCAGACCTTGAGTGGATGAAATTTGAAGGTTTCACCTTGGCCGCTGAAATTTCCAAGGTTGTCACCTTGATATAACGAATATCTGTGTGTGTGTCATTGCCATTGACCGAGGCGTCATTGAACATCATCAGGGCCAGATAATTATGTGTGTGTGTGGTGTGCATTGTGAGTGAAATGATGAGGGTGAACGTGGTAGTGCTTTATGATTGACAATTTCACTCATTCTCTCTCTCTCTCTCTCGCTCTGTCTCTCTCTCTCTCGCTCTGTCTCTCTCTCTCTCTCTCTCGCTCTGTCTCTCTCTCTCTCTGTCTCTCTCTCTCTCTCTCTCTCTCTCTCTATTTTATTTCACAGAGGATGACAGCGAACAGCCGGGGGAAGGTGAAGAGGAGAAGGAGCAGGTTTCCTATCAGATCAGTAACGATGTCCACTTCACTAACAGCCGCATGGCATCGCTGGCCTGCATCAAGCGTGGCGTTGTCGTCGAGGCCGATAAATCGATCCATTCGCAACTGCGCTTGATTAACTTCTCCGACGGCTCGCCATATGAGACACTGCATGCGTTCATCAGCAAATCCCTGGCACCGTATTTCAAGTCGTATGTCAAGGAGTCGGGTCGTGCGGATCGCGATGGCGATAAGATGGCACCGTCGGTGGAGAAGAAGTTGGCCGAACTGGAGATGGGTTTGTTGCATTTGCAGCAGAACATTGACATCCCGGAGATTACGCTGACGGCTCATCCGGTTGTCAATCAGGTCATACGCAAGTGTGCCGACGAGAACCACAAGGCCAAAGTGGTGGACTTTGGCGACAAGGTGGAGGATTCGTCGTTCCTCAATCAGCTGCAGAACGGCGTGAATCGCTGGATTACCGAAATCAAGAAGGTAACCAAGCTAAATCGAGATCCGGGCTCAGGCACTGCGCTACAAGTAAGCATATAATCCGTAAAAGAAGTCTTCAATTGAGTTAATCCCATTTATGTTCCAGGAAATCTCATTTTGGCTAAATCTGGAGCGTGCCTTATATCGCATTCAGGAGAAACGCGAGTCGCCCGAAGTGGCACTTACCCTAGACATACTCAAGCATGGCAAACGTTTCCATGCAACAGTTTCGTTTGATACAGACACGGGCTTGAAACAAGCTCTGGCCACTGTAGCCGATTATAATCCGCTAATGAAGGATTTCCCCATCAATGATTTACTGTCTGCCACAGAGCTGGAGAAGATTCGACCGGCTGTGCAGCAGATATTCTCGCATCTGCGCAAGGTGCGCAATACCAAGTATCCCATTCAGCGTTGCCTCAAGCTGATCGAGGCCATCTCTCGCGATTTGTCACAGCAATTGCTCAAGGTGCTGGGTACCCGTCGCCTCATGCACATTCCCTTTGATGAGTTCGAGCGCGTGATGAACCAGTGCTTCGAGATCTTCAGCTGCTGGGACGATGAGTACGATAAGCTGCAGGGTTTGCTGCGCGACATTGTCAAGAAGAAGCGCGATGAGCATCTGAAGATGGTCTGGCGTGTCTCGCCGGCTCACAAGAAGCTGCAGACGCGCATGGAGCATATGCGCAAGTTTAGGCGCCAGCATGAACAACTGCGCACCGTCATCCTGCGCGTGCTGCGACCCACCAAGCAAGCAGCTGGTGATGATGGCAGTGCCGTGGAGACCAAGCAGCCATACAGTCTGGATGCAGCCGATGCTAATGCCATCGAAGAGGTCAACTTGGCCTACGAGAATGTCAAGGAAGTCGATTGCCTGGACATTACCAAGGAGGGCTCCGAGGCCTGGGAGGCCGCTGTCAAGCGCTACGAGGAGAAGATCGGTGAGCATTGAGCACAAATTTAAAAATATTAAATATGTATACGGATTTGTACCTTATTTTCGATTTACCAAACCAGATTTGGAATCTGTACAACAGAATTTTTACTTTTTGATCTTATTGAGCTTATCTCCCTAACTAACTTGAGCCAAATTAATTTTTCTGTTCCCTCTGGAGACATTCAATATATTAAATTATATATTTATATTAAATAATGTATTTATACTAGATCGCGTGGAGACACGCATCACGGCGCATCTGCGTGACCAGTTGGGCACCGCGAAGAATGCCAACGAGATGTTCCGCATCTTCTCGCGCTTCAATGCGCTCTTTGTGCGTCCGCACATCCGGGGCGCTATTCGCGAGTATCAAACGCAGTTGATACAACGTGTCAAGGACGACATCGAGGCGTTGCACGAGAAGTTCAAGGTGCAGTATCCGCAGAGCAAGAGTTGCCGCCTGTCGTCGGTGCGCGATCTGCCGCCAGTGGCAGGCTCCATAATCTGGGCACGTCAGATTGACAACCAACTGACCATGTACCTGAAACGGGTCGAGGATGTGCTCGGCAAGGGCTGGGAGACGCACATCGAGGGCCAAAAATTGAAGGCAGATGGCGACAGCTTCCGGGCCAAACTCTCCATCTCCGATGTCTTTCACGAATGGGCACGTAAAGTGCAGGAGCGTAACTTTGGCAGCTCTGGTCGCATTTTCACCATCGAATCAACTCGTTCACGTGTTGGACGCGGCAATGTTTTGCGGCTGCGCGTCAACTTTCTGCCAGAGATTATAACGCTGGCCAAGGAGGTGCGCAACATCAAGAACCTGGGCTTCAGGTGAGTGAATTTCAATATTCTGTTCTCTTTTTTACTATATTAAAGTGTATTCCTTTTTGCAGAGTTCCACTTACCATTGTGAACAAGGCTCATCAGGCCAACCAAATTTATCCCTATGCTATATCGCTGATTGAGAGCGTTCGCACCTACGAACGCACTCTGGAGAAGGTAACCTAGCCATATTTAACGAATCAACTGCACAACCAACATAATCACAACAATCACCACACAACCAACCACAACCAACACCAATATTACAATAATGTCAATAATGCTGAAGCAATTGCTCTGCTTACTTTGCAACTATGTATATGTCTAATATATATCTAATGGATCAGCATAAATATGATTTATATCCATTATATATTTCTTGTAAAATTGTAGTCACAAAATGCTATTTGAAAATGGATTTAGATTTCTTACTCTTAAAACTCTTAAAAATTCTTAATTGCTATGTGCTACCAATTTTAGACATATACATATTATAATCTGTATTTTCTCTCTTTTGAGAAATTACTTGGCTTCTTTTTGTGCATTGTTTGTTCCCAGCGTGTGCAGCTTGAATTTTGTTAAAGACACTGCTCGAAAAAACACCTTACATTTCACACTCATTTCACACACACCTTACATAAGCATAAGCATAAGCATAGACACGAGTACGAGTACTTTTTTAAATCAACCGAACAACCAACAACCTTTTTTTCATGCAGCTTAATAATAGGAGTCTAGCACTAAATTCAGTATTCAAGGTAGTGTTGTCCCCCACAGAAAAGTTATTATTGCTACCCACTGTTTGTTTGTTTACTTATATCCTATCCTGCATGCATCTTAAAGATTCTACTAGAAGTCTTGAAATTTATGCAATATATATATATTAATACTTCTTGATTGTATATAAGATCGAGGATCGCGCAAGCATTGTGCCTTTGGTTGCTGGACTGCGCAAGGAGGTGCTGAATCTGGTCTCCGAGGGCGTTGGCCTAATTTGGGAATCGTACAAACTGGATCCCTATGTGTTGCGTCTTTCCGAGTGCGTCACTCAGTTCCAGGAGAAGGTAAGTGGATGATGATGATTGACTCCTTCAAAACATTATCTAAGTTCTCAATTCTCAGGTCGATGACTTGCTAGTGGTGGAGGAGCAACTGGATGTCGATGTGCGTTCGCTGGAAACATGTCCGTATAGTGCCGCTACCTTTGTGGAGATACTCTCCAAGATTCAGCATGCTGTCGATGATTTATCGCTGCGTCAGTATTCCAATCTGAGTGTTTGGGTCACCCGGCTCGATGAGGAGGTGGAGAAGAAGCTCGCCTCGCGTCTCCAGGCAGGCATTCAAGCTTGGACAGAGGCACTGACAGGCAACAAAAAGGAGGTGGACACCTCCATGGACACAGATGCACCAGTTCAGCCCACACATAAATTGGGCGGCGAACCGCAGGTCCAAAATGCAGTGCACGAGATACGCATCACCAATCAGCAGATGTATCTATATCCCTCCATTGAGGAGGCCCGCTTCCAGATCATGCAACAGTTCTTTGCCTGGCAGGCCATCGTCACCTCCCAGGTGCGACTACAGAGTACACGGTACCAGGTGGGCCTCGAGAAACCTGTCTCGCAAACGTATCGCAATCTGCTTACCAAATTGCCCGAGGGAAAGATTCTCGAAAATGCCTACGGTGCCATCGAGCACAAGATTAGCGAGGTGCGCAACTATGTCGATGAGTGGCTGCGCTACCAGAGCCTCTGGGATCTGCAGGCGGACACGCTCTATGGCCGTCTGGGTGAGGATGTGAATCTATGGATCAAGTGCCTCAACGATATCAAGCAATCGCGCACCACATTCGATACGTCGGACACTCGACGTGCATATGGCGCCATCATCATTGATTATGCCAAGGTGCAGGCCAAGGTGACGCTCAAATACGATTCGTGGCATAAGGAGGCGTTGGGTAAATTTGGCACTCTTCTCGGAACCGAGATGACCACGTTCCACACTAAGGTCTCCAAGTCGCGTACAGACCTCGAGATGCAGAGTATTGAGGCGGCGAGCACATCGGATGCAGTCAGCTTCATTACGTATGTGCAGACGCTGAAGAAGGACATGATTGCCTGGGACAAACAGGTGGAGGTGTTCCGCGAGGCACAGCGCATACTGGAGCGTCAGCGTTTCCAGTTTCCCAACAATTGGTTGCACGTGGACAACATCGAGGGCGAGTGGTCGGCCTTCAATGAGATCATCAAGCGCAAGGATACCGCAATCCAAACACAGGTGGCCAGTTTGCAGGCCAAGATTGTCGCAGAGGATAAAGCGGTGGAGACGCGCACCGTTGACTTCCTCAACGATTGGGAGAAAACGAAGCCCACCGGCGGCAAAATACGGCCCGATGATGCACTGCAACAGCTGCAAATCTTCGAGAGCAAATACTCGCGACTCAAGGAGGAGCGCGACAATGTGGCGAAGGCCAAAGAAGCGTTGGAGCTGCAAGAGTCGGCCGGAGTGACCAACAACAGTTCGGAGCGCATGAATGTCGCCCTTGAGGAGCTGCAGGACTTGCGTGGTGTTTGGAGTGAACTGTCTAAGGTGTGGACTCAGATCGATGAGACGCGCGAGAAGCCCTGGCTATCGGTGCAGCCACGCAAGCTGCGCCAGCAGCTGGAGGCGATGATGGCCCAGCTGAAGGAGTTGCCCGCCCGCCTGCGCATGTACGAATCCTATGAGTATGTGAAGAAACTCATCCAGAGCTATATTAAGGTGAACATGCTGATTGTGGAGCTCAAATCGGACGCACTCAAGGAGCGCCACTGGAAACAGTTAACCAAGCAATTGCGTGTCAATTGGGTCATCTCTGATCTGACACTGGGACAGGTGTGGGATGTAAATCTGCAGAAGAACGAGTCCATTGTGAAGGACATCATTCTGGTCGCGCAGGGTGAAATGGCACTGGAGGAGTTCTTAAAACAAGTGCGCGAATCCTGGCAGAATTACGAGTTGGATCTGATTAACTATCAGAACAAATGTCGAATTATACGCGGCTGGGATGATCTCTTCAACAAGGTCAAGGAGCACATTAACTCTGTGGCTGCCATGAAGCTATCGCCCTACTACAAGGTCTTCGAGGAGGAGGCCCTCACCTGGGAGGAGAAGTTGAATCGCATCAATGCCCTGTTCGATGTGTGGATCGATGTTCAACGTCGTTGGGTCTATTTGGAGGGCATCTTCTCGGGCAGTGCTGACATCAAGACACTGTTGCCCGTGGAGACTTCTCGTTTTCAGAGCATTAGCTCCGAGTTTCTGGGCCTGATGAAAAAGGTGACCAAGTCACCCAAAGTGATGGATGTATTGAACATACCCGCAGTGCAGCGTTCGCTGGAACGCTTGGCCGATCTGCTGGGCAAGATTCAGAAAGCCCTCGGCGAGTATTTGGAACGTGAGCGCACATCCTTTCCACGTTTCTACTTTGTGGGCGATGAGGATCTCCTGGAGATCATTGGCAACAGCAAGAATATTCCCCGTCTGCAGAAGCACTTCAAGAAGATGTTCGCTGGAGTGGCTGCCATTCTGTTGAACGAGGAGAACAATGTCATTTTGGGCATCTCGTCGCGTGAGGGCGAAGAGGTACACTTCATCAATCCCGTGTCGACGGTGGACCATCCCAAGATCAACGAATGGCTCTCGCTGGTGGAGAAACAAATGCGCTTCACGCTCGCCTCGCTGCTCGCACAAGCTGTGCAGGATATCAAACAGTTCCGCGATGGTCAAATCGATCCCCAAAAGTACATGGAATGGTGTGACAAATACCAGGCACAAATTGTCGTGCTTGCCGCTCAGATTCTGTGGTCCGAGGATGTGGAGGCTGCACTGCAGCAGGCATCAGAGAATAATGCAGGCAAGCCATTGCAACGTGTCCTCACAAATGTGGAGAGCACACTGAATGTGCTAGCGGATTCAGTGCTGCAGGAACAGCCGCCGTTGCGTCGTCGCAAACTGGAGCATCTGATCAATGAGTTTGTGCACAAACGGACGGTTACCAGACGTCTGCTCACCAATGGTGTCACCTCGCCCAAATCCTTCCAGTGGCTGTGCGAGATGCGCTTCTATTTCGATCCCCGTCAGACAGAGGTGCTCAAACAGCTCACAATTCACATGGCCAATGCACGTTTCTTCTACGGCTTTGAGTATTTGGGTGTACAGGATCGCCTCGTGCAAACACCACTTACGGATCGCTGTTATCTGACCATGACGCAAGCGCTGGAATCGCGTCTTGGCGGCTCACCCTTCGGTCCGGCTGGCACCGGTAAAACGGAGTCGGTGAAGGCGTTGGGTAATCAACTAGGTCGCTTTGTGCTCGTCTTCAATTGCGACGAGACATTCGATTTCCAGGCGATGGGTCGCATCTTTGTCGGTCTGTGCCAGGTGGGCGCATGGGGCTGTTTCGATGAGTTCAATCGTCTGGAGGAGCGCATGCTTTCCGCCTGCTCCCAACAGATTCAGACCATACAGGAGGCCCTCAAATACGAGATGGACAGCAACAAGGAGAGCATCACAGTGGAGCTGGTGGGCAAGCAGGTGCGCGTCTCGCCAGACATGGCCATTTTCATCACGATGAATCCAGGCTATGCTGGCCGCTCCAATCTACCCGATAATTTGAAGAAACTCTTCCGTTCGCTGGCGATGACAACACCCGATCGTCAGCTCATCGCCGAGGTGATGCTCTTCTCGCAGGGTTTCCGCTCTGCCGAGAAACTGGCCTGCAAAATTGTGCCGTTCTTCAAGCTCTGCGATGAGCAACTATCCAATCAGAGTCACTACGATTTCGGGCTGCGTGCTTTGAAATCTGTCCTTATCTCGGCTGGCAATGTGAAACGTGATCGCATAATGAAGATTAAGGAACAGATGCGTCAACGTGGCGACGAGAATATCGATGAGGCATCTGTCGCGGAGAATCTGCCCGAACAGGAGATACTCATACAGTCCGTCTGCGAGACAATGGTGCCCAAGTTGGTTGCCGAGGATATTCCACTGCTCTTCTCACTGCTCAGCGATGTCTTCCCCAATGTGGGCTACACCCGGGCCGAAATGAAGGGTCTCAAGGAGGAGATACGCAAGGTGTGCCAGGAGGATTATCTCGTCTGCGGCGAGGGTGACGAGCAGGGCGCTGCCTGGATGGAGAAGGTAAGTCATTCATCACTTTTTGATCTTTAAGCATTCCATAACATTGATTCGCCTCGCACACACGCCTACTAACCACCAACAGGGACTCGGCTCAACCTGGGTCGACAAAGTAACTAATTTCCATTTGTAGTCCATTCAATCTTTTTGCCCATTTATTAATCGATTTGTTGACTCCAAACAGGTGCTGCAACTGTATCAAATCTCCAATTTGAATCATGGACTCATGATGGTGGGTCCATCCGGTTCAGGCAAGTCGACAGCTTGGCGCACACTGCTCAAGGCACTGGAGCGCTTCGAGGGCGTTGAGGGTGTTGCTCATGTCATCGATCCCAAGGCCATTTCCAAGGAGGCGCTTTATGGTGTCCTTGATCCAAATACACGCGAGTGGACCGACGGTCTCTTTACGCACATTCTGCGCAAGATCATAGACAATGTGCGCGGCGAGATTAACAAACGGCAGTGGATCATCTTTGATGGCGACGTGGATCCCGAGTGGGTGGAGAATCTCAATTCGGTGCTGGACGACAACAAATTACTGACGCTGCCCAATGGTGAACGTCTTTCGCTGCCGCCCAATGTGCGTGTCATGTTCGAGGTGCAGGATTTGAAGTTTGCCACGCTTGCCACCGTTTCTCGCTGTGGCATGGTCTGGTTCTCAGAGGATGTGCTCTCCACGGAGATGATATTCGAAAATTATTTGTCACGTTTGCGCAGCATTCCGCTCGAGGATGGCGACGATGATTTCGTTGGAGTAATGATGAAACCCCCCAAGGACAAGGAGGAAGAAGTCTCGCCCTCGTTGCAAGTGCAACGCGATATTGCGCTGCTGTTGCAGCCCTTCTTCTCGGCGGATGGCATTGTGGTGCGCACTTTGGAGTATGCCATGGATCAGGAGCACATCATGGACTTTACACGTCTGCGTGCTCTCAGCTCGCTCTTCTCCATGCTCAATCAGTCCGCCCGCAATGTGCTCAATTTTAATGCCCAACATCCTGATTTCCCTTGCTCCGCTGATCAATTAGAGCACTATATACCCAAGGCATTAGTCTACTCGGTGCTGTGGTCATTTGCTGGCGATGCCAAGCTGAAAGTGCGCATCGATCTGGGTGATTTTGTGCGCAGTGTAACAACGGTGCCGTTGCCAGGTGCTGCTGGTGCGCCCATCATCGATTACGAGGTGAGCATGAACGGTGAATGGGTGCCGTGGAGTAACAAGGTGCCCGTCATCGAGGTGGAGACCCATAAAGTGGCATCCCCGGATATTGTGGTGCCCACGCTAGACACTGTGCGTCACGAATCGCTGCTCTACACCTGGCTGGCCGAGCACAAGCCATTGGGTAAGGTTTACTATAGACTCTACTCTAGCTGCCTACTCATTCGAATCTCTCTTCCCCGCCAGTGCTCTGCGGTCCACCTGGTTCTGGCAAGACGATGACACTGTTCTCTGCGCTGCGTGCGCTGCCCGACATGGAGGTGGTTGGTCTCAATTTCTCATCGGCCACAACGCCGGAGTTGCTGCTCAAGACTTTCGATCACTACTGCGAGTACCGCAAGACACCCAATGGCGTGGTACTCTCACCCGTCCAGATTGGGAAATGGCTGGTGCTCTTCTGCGATGAGATCAATTTGCCCGACATGGATTCGTATGGCACCCAACGTGTCATATCCTTCCTGCGCCAGCTGGTCGAACATAAGGGCTTCTATCGAGCAAGCGATCAGGCTTGGGTTTCGCTGGAACGCATACAATTTGTGGGAGCTTGTAATCCACCCACAGATCCGGGTCGCAAGCCCCTCTCGCATCGTTTCCTGCGCCATGTGCCCATCATCTATGTGGACTACCCCGGCGAGACGTCGCTCAAGCAGATCTACGGCACCTTCTCGCGTGCCATGCTGCGGCTAATGCCTGCATTGCGTGGCTACGCCGAACCTCTGACCAATGCCATGGTCGAGTTCTATTTGGCATCGCAGGATCGCTTCACGCAGGACATGCAACCGCATTATGTCTACTCACCGCGTGAGATGACTCGCTGGGTGCGTGGCATTTGTGAAGCCATCCGTCCCTTAGACTCACTACCCGTTGAGGGTCTGGTGCGTCTGTGGGCGCATGAGGCACTGCGTCTGTTCCAGGATCGTCTCGTTGATGACAGCGAACGTCGCTGGACCAATGAGAATATCGATTTGGTCGGCCACAAGCACTTCCCGGGCATCAATCAGGAAGAGGCACTGCAACGACCCATCCTCTACAGCAATTGGCTGTCCAAGGATTATACGCCCGTGAATCGCGAGGAGTTGCGCGATTATGTCCGCGCTCGCCTCAAGGTATTCTACGAGGAGGAACTGGACGTACCGCTGGTGCTCTTCGATGAGGTCCTCGATCATGTCCTCCGCATCGATCGTATTTTCCGCCAGCCACAGGGTCATCTGTTGCTCATCGGCGTTTCTGGAGCTGGCAAGACGACGCTGTCGCGCTTCGTTGCTTGGATGAATGGTTTATCCATCTTCCAGATCAAGGTGCACAATAAGTATACTAGCGAGGACTTTGACGAGGATTTGCGTTGTGTGTTGCGTCGCTCCGGCTGCAAGGACGAGAAAATCGCCTTCATATTAGATGAGTCGAATGTGCTGGACTCAGGTTTCTTGGAGCGCATGAATACGCTGCTGGCCAACGGTGAGGTGCCCGGTCTCTTCGAGGGCGATGAGTACACCACGCTGATGACCCAGTGCAAGGAGGGTGCTCAGCGCGAGGGACTCATGCTCGACTCCAGTGATGAGCTGTACAAGTGGTTCACGCAGCAGGTGATGCGTAATCTTCATGTTGTATTCACCATGAATCCCTCAACCGATGGCCTCAAGGATCGTGCCGCAACATCGCCAGCTCTGTTCAATCGTTGTGTATTGAATTGGTTTGGTGACTGGTCGGACTCAGCCCTCTTCCAAGTCGGCAAAGAGTTCACCACTCGTGTCGATTTGGAGAAGCCCAATTGGACGCCGCCGGATTTCTTCCCATCCGTTTGCCCACTGGTGCCAGCGAATCCCACGCATCGCGATGCGGTCATCAACAGTTGTGTCTATGTTCATCAGACACTTCACCAGGCCAATGCTCGCCTGGCCAAACGTGGTGGACGCACCATGGCTGTCACTCCCCGGCACTATCTGGACTTTATCCATCACTTTGTCAAGCTGTACAATGAGAAGCGTAGCGATCTGGAGGAGCAACAGCTCCATCTGAATGTGGGTCTCAATAAAATCGCGGAGACTGTGGAGCAAGTGGAGGAGATGCAAAAATCGCTGGCGGTCAAAAAGCAGGAGTTGCAGGCCAAGAATGAGGCGGCTAACGCCAAGTTGAAGCAAATGTTCCAGGATCAGCAAGAGGCAGAGAAGAAGAAGATACAATCGCAGGAGATACAGATACGACTGGCCGATCAGACGGTCAAGATTGACGAGAAGCGCAAGTATGTCATGGCAGATCTGGCACAGGTGGAACCAGCCGTTATCGATGCCCAGCAAGGTGAGTCCAACGGATGCCAATCCTTCTCTAAAAGGGGGCCAGGATGGGTTCGTTATTACAATTAGTTTATGTCTTGCTAAGTTTAGTTCTAAATTAACTTGAATACATACATATATTTAAATCGATACACACACACACACCAACACAATTTGCACCATGTTAGCCGTTAGCTCGATTAAAAAGAAACACCTGGCCGAGGTCCGCTCCATGGCAAATCCGCCGGCTGTGGTGAAGTTGGCACTGGAATCTGTTTGCGAGCTGCTCAATGAGAGTGCCACAGATTGGAAGGCCATACGCGGCATACTCGTTAAAGACAGTTTCATCTCATCGATTGTTAACTTGGAGACTGACAAGATCACGTACGCAACTCTCTATTTCTTAATTACACACACACATACACATATCACACACTCAACCACATACAACACTCCCCTCAGCACACTCACGTTCTCATTCGAACTGACCAAAAGTGGGTCAGTTTGTCTCTCTCTCTCATCTCTCCCTCAGAGGTTGTTGTGCCGTAATGTGACACTAATCGCATCATACGCATAACTAAACAACTATATATAATATATATATATATATATAAATAAATACACACACATACACACACACTCTGCATACGCAATGCACTGGCAAATATCTTAACTTATGATATATAAATATAAATATATATGAATAACCTTAAACTTATTGTTAATTATCGTGTGTAAACTAAAGTCAGACTAAAGTTGTTGTTAAGAGTTGTGGTTAAATCTCTAACTAGGTGTTTAGTATATATTCAAATCAGAGAGATAGAGTCTTACAACAATATTGAGACTCTTAAACATTACACTCAGTAAAATTTTTTTTTGCTGATTGAATGAAAAACAGAGAGAGGCAGAGTCTAACATCAATATTGAGACTGTGACTCGTAACTCTTAAACATTAATAGTGTTGTAACAATTGTAAGGCTAATTTATACGAGTTTAACATATAGTTAATGATGCTGTTGAGAGCTGTCTGTATATCGTTTATAATAATTCTGATCCTTCATGTTAACACAATCGAATCGAATCGAATCAAATCACACAGCTGTGAAGTCCATACGCAAACAGCAACTCGTTGAGGTGCGAACGATGGCGAATCCACCGTCTGTGGTTAAATTGGCACTCGAGTCGATCTGCCTGCTGCTGGGCGAGAATGCGACAGATTGGAAATCAATACGCGCTGTGATAATGCGTGAAAATTTCATAAATTCAATTGTATCTAACTTCGGTACCGAGAACATAACGTAAGCATGAAAATCAAATTATTATACATTTTCTTTTAATTCCACACACACTTTGTTCTCGAATGGAATTTATATATTTTTTATTGTTTTTTGGAGAGTAGAAATTGGTATTCTCTTCTTCGTTTGCCTGAGTTTATTTCTTGTAGATTTGTTGTGAATAATAAAAAAAAAAAGCGGGCTGTTTTTTTTTTGTTATTTGTTTGTATTGTGTATGTAAATATTGTTTATTATTATTTCTTAACTTGTTGTTGTTGTTGGTTAATTGGCTTTTAACTTGTTATCCACTCAATCAATATTTTTATGGTTTTGGTCAAATTTGCCGCTTTGATTCATACTAACCAAATGCTTTGCTTGCTCTCAATTCATTCAAATAACTCAACCCTTAAACAGTTATTAAGATATTTTATTAATATATAATTTACGCAACGATTAATGCAGCGATGAGGTTCGGGAGAAAATGAAGTCCAAGTATCTGAGTAATCCGGACTATAACTTTGAGAAGGTCAATCGCGCCAGTATGGCCTGTGGTCCCATGGTCAAGTGGGCCATTGCACAGGTAAGTTCAATAAATGATCAGTGATGAAACAATTGCAAACTCCATTTAATCTATAGATTGAGTATGCTGACATGTTGAAGCGTGTGGAGCCGTTGCGTGAGGAACTGCGCTCTCTGGAGGAACAGGCCGATGTCAACCTGCACAGCGCCAAGGAGACCAAGGATCTGGTGGAGCAACTCGAGCGCAGCATTGCTGCCTACAAGGAGGAATATGCACAGCTCATTTCCCAGGCGCAGGCCATTAAAACCGATCTGGAGAATGTGCAAGCCAAGGTGGATCGTTCGATTGCGCTGCTCAAGAGCTTGAACATTGAACGCGAACGTTGGGAGTCCACCAGTGAAACATTCAAATCCCAAATGTCCACCATTGTGGGTGATGTTCTACTCTCGGCAGCATTCATCGCCTATGGCGGCTACTTTGACCAGCATTATCGATTGAATCTGTTCACCACGTGGTCACAGCATCTGCAGTCGGCGAGCATTCAATATCGTGCGGACATTGCACGCACCGAGTATCTGTCCAATCCGGACGAGCGTCTGCGCTGGCAGGCGAATGCCTTGCCCACGGATGATCTTTGCACGGAGAATGCCATCATGCTGAAGCGATTTAATCGTTATCCGTTGATTATTGATCCCTCCGGGCAGGCGACCACTTTCCTGCTCAATGAGTATGCGGGCAAGAAGATAACGAAGACCTCCTTCCTGGACGATTCGTTCCGCAAGAATCTCGAGTCGGCGTTGCGTTTCGGTAATCCGCTGCTCGTCCAGGATGTGGAGAACTATGATCCCATATTGAACCCGGTGTTGAATCGCGAATTGCGTCGCACTGGCGGACGTGTCTTGATTACGTTGGGTGACCAGGACATTGATCTGTCGCCTTCATTTGTCATCTTCTTGTCGACACGAGATCCGACTGTTGAGTTCCCGCCGGACATCTGCTCGAGGGTAACCTTTGTCAACTTTACCGTGACGCGCAGTTCGCTGCAATCGCAGTGCCTGAACCAAGTGCTGAAGGCCGAGCGACCCGACATCGATGAGAAGCGTTCCGATCTGCTCAAATTGCAGGGCGAGTTCCGTTTGCGTCTGCGCCAGCTGGAGAAGAGTCTGCTGCAGGCACTCAACGATGCCAAGGGCAAGATCCTGGACGATGACTCGGTGATCACCACACTGGAAACGCTCAAGAAGGAGGCGTACGACATCAACCAGAAGGTGGATGAAACAGACAAGGTCATCGCTGAGATTGAGACTGTGTCCCAACAATATCTGCCCTTGTCTGTGGCATGCAGCAGCATGTACTTCACCATGGATAGCCTGAATCAGGTGCACTTCCTCTATCAGTACTCGCTGAAGATGTTCCTCGACATCTTCTCCACGGTGCTGTACAATAATCCACGGCTCGATGGACGCAGCGATCACTCGGAGCGACTGGGCATCATCACGAAGGATCTGTTCCAGGTGTGCTACGAGCGTGTGGCACGTGGCATGTTGCACAACGATCGCTTAACCTTTGCTCTGCTCATGTGCAAGATCCATTTGAAGGGCTCTGGCGAATCCAATCTGGACACCGAATTCAATTTCTTCCTGCGCAGTCGCGAAGGTCTCCTCGCGAATCCCACGCACGTCGACGGACTCAGCGGCGAGCAAGTGGAGGGCGTCAATAGATTGGCCACTCGTCTGCCTATCTTCCGCAAGCTGGTTGAGAAAGTGCGCTCCATGCCCGAGCTGGGCGCCTGGCTACAGCAGAGCTCTCCCGAACAGTGTGTGCCCCAACTGTGGGATGAATCCAAGGCGTTGTCCGCCATTTGCAGCTCTGTGCACCAGTTGCTGTTGATTCAGGCCTTCCGACCGGATCGCGTCATTGCCGCTGCCCACAATGTGGTCAACAGTGTGCTTGGCGTCGATTTTATGCCCAATGCCGAGCAGGAGTTGGACTTTACAGCCGTCGTCGACAAGCAACTCAATTGCAATACGCCCGCACTGCTGTGCTCCGTGCCCGGTTTTGATGCCTCTGGTCGCGTAGATGACTTGGCCGCCGAGCAGAATAAGCAAATCTCCAGCATTGCCATTGGTTCCGCTGAGGGCTTCAATCAGGCGGAGCGTGCCATTAATATGGCCTGCAAGAATGGTCGATGGGTGCTGCTGAAGAACGTACACTTGGCACCGCAGTGGCTCGTCCAGCTGGAGAAGAAGATGCATTCACTGCAACCGCATTCGGGCTTCCGTCTCTTCCTCACCATGGAGATTAATCCGAAGGTGCCTGTGAATCTCCTGCGTGCTGGTCGCATCTTTGTCTTTGAGCCACCTCCAGGCATACGTGCGAATCTGTTGCGCACCTTCTCCACGGTGCCAGCGGCACGCATGATGAAGGCGCCCAGCGAGCGAGCACGTCTCTATTTCCTGCTCGCCTGGTTCCATGCCATTGTCCAGGAGCGTCTCCGTTACGTGCCTCTGGGCTGGGCCAAGAAGTACGAGTTCAATGAGTCCGATTTGCGTGTCGCTTGCGATACCCTGGACACATGGATCGATACGACGGCCATGGGACGCACCAATTTGCCGCCGGAGAAAGTGCCGTGGGATGCACTGGTCACGCTGCTGTCCCAGTCCATCTATGGCGGCAAGATCGACAACGATTTCGATCAGCGTCTGTTGACCTCGTTCCTCAAGAAGCTCTTCACCGCTCGCAGCTTCGAGGCGGACTTTGCTCTCGTCGCGAATGTGGATGGTGCCTCGGGCGGATTGCGTCACATTACCATGCCGGATGGCACACGACGCGATCACTTCCTCAAGTGGATCGAGAATCTGACAGATCGCCAGACGCCCTCATGGCTGGGTCTGCCCAACAATGCGGAGAAGGTGCTGCTCACAACGCGTGGCACGAATCTGGTGAGCAAGCTTCTCAAGATGCAGCAGTTGGAGGATGACGATGAGCTCGCCTACAGCGTCGAGGAGCAGTCCGAACAGTCCGCCCTGGCGCTGGGCGCACGCAGCGAGGATGGTCGTCCGTCGTGGATGAAAACGTTGCACAATTCGGCCACCGCCTGGCTGGAGTTGTTGCCCAAGAATCTGCAGGTACTCAAGCGCACCGTGGAGAACATTAAGGATCCACTATATCGCTACTTCGAACGTGAAGTGACCAGCGGTGCTCGTCTGCTCCAGACGGTCATCTCTGATCTACAGGATGTAGTATTGATTTGCCAGGGCGAGAAGAAGCAGACGAATCATCATCGTTCCATGCTCTCCGAGCTGGTGCGCGGCATCATACCCAAGGGCTGGAAACGTTACACTGTCCCCGCCGGTTGCACCGTCATCCAGTGGATCACGGATTTCAGTCAGCGCGTGCAGCAGCTGCAAAAGGTCTCCCAACTGGTCTCACAGGCCGGTGCCAAGGAACTGCAGGGTTTCCCCGTCTGGCTGGGTGGTCTGCTCAACCCCGAGGCTTACATCACAGCCACCCGGCAGTGTGTGGCCCAGGCAAACAGTTGGTCACTGGAGGAGCTCGCCCTGGAGGTGACCATTACCGACGCTGGTCTCAAAACAGATCAGAAGGACAGCAGCTTCGGGGTCAGTGGCCTCAAGCTGCAGGGCGCCCAGTGCAAGAACAACGAATTGCTCCTGGCCTCCACGATAATGATGGATCTGCCCGTCACCATCCTCAAGTGGAGCAAGTGAGTAGCCATATAGAATTTGTCCTCTTTAAATTTCGACTAATTTGTCCATTTCTCTATAGGATCTCCTCGGAGCCACGTGTCTGCAAATTGACGCTGCCCGTTTACTTGAACTCCACGCGCACCGAGCTGCTCTTCACTGTGGATTTGGCCGTCGCTGCTGGCCAGGATTCGCATAGCTTCTATGAACGAGGCGTCGCCGTTTTGACGTCCACTGCTTTGAACTAAGTGCTTGAATTATATTAATCAATCTCCCTTTGAAATACCCCCAAACCCAATCCAATTCCAATTCCATAAATTTCTAATTTCTATTTAAAATATATCTACACATTTAACCACCCCAAATATCAGTATGATTCAATACAATTCCACAAGATTTGCCAAGTGCTGTGGTAGTTTTGTCTGTAGATAGCGCCACATCGCAAGTGCTGATAGATGGCGCAATGTGTTGTAGTTTTACATGTAGATGCCGCCACATTACAAATGATGATAGCAACATTTTGTTGTTTTATCTGTAGATGCCGCCACATCACGAGCGCTGATAGATGGTGCAACCTTTTGTAGTTTTATCTGTAGATGACGCTACACTATAAGTGAAGATAGATGGCGCAACCATTTGTAGTTTTATCTGTAGATGGAGGCACATCTAATTTGCGGCGAATTGTGAAAGCGCTTTCTTTTGAGTTACTTACCATGCAGCAAGGACAATACTGGGAGCAGTTTATATGGGTGACACTAAATAAAGGGATCTAACAAAGTGGGAATGATAAGTGTTTGGGAACAGTTATTATTCATATTCATAGTTTAATGATATGCCAACTGGTGGCGCTGCGCAATGCAAAGTGCTGTAAAATATTTAAAATGCAATTATGCAAGTATTTTAAAGCAAATGCCAAATATTAAGACCGTTTTATTTCAAATTGAAAATTGTAACTTTTTAGATATGTAGATAAATAGAAATATAGATTGTAGAAATACGTATGAATACACATTTGTTGGGTTCCCTCCGTCTATCTGTCTGTGTGTGCTTATTGAGGCAACTAGTATTTTTCTCTGCCTCTTCTTTCTAATGAATATCTTGCATAAATCTCTGCACAGCAAAAAACGCACCTTCATTTTCCAATGGCCATTTCCCCTGTAAATATAATCAAAGTTGCCCGAGCTAGCTGCATTAAAACGAATTTCTAATACCCTCTCGAAAACAAACTTTAGTATAATTTTGATGAAATTAAACCATAAAATACGCAACCATTTTGTGCAGAGTTTGTATATGAGAAATATTAATGACAAGCGTAGAAAGTATTCTAAGAGGTATTCCACATCTGAACTTGAGTCAGACCCAAACGCTTCATCAGCTGCTGCTTCTGCTTCGATTACGCCGGATAGTCCGGCCGGACTGTGCGGCTCCCATGCGGTGCTCTGCGCTACTTAAGGTAATTGCTGGAAAATGCAAATGTTCGTGAATTACGCGAATTATGCAGCCAAATGAATTGGGGGTTGCCCCTATAAATAAACCCAGCTTCAACTCGAGGCAAAGTCACTTTTTGCTTGGTGCTCATGCTGTCATCATCGTCATCTCTTATTTGGACTCCAGTCTGCCTGCTGCTGATCTGCTCCTTGACTACGCAGCAGCATGGCAAGGACACTCAGCGACTGGATGAGTTCCGGCAGAGATATCTACTCCCGTGGCTCTCTGCCGGAACGCGAAATTGTACGCTGAATGCCTGCGAATCGCTCAGAATCATCTCGCAGCTGCTGCTGCTGATGAAGGCGCTTCCAAATGGCACAATCAGCCCCTCAGCAATGGGAAATGATGCAGGAGTGCCTTTGTCTTCTGCTCCGCGCAGATCTGCTGCCAGCCGGGATTCATCTAATGGCGCCGCTGTCGGCTCCTCCATGTTTAATTTTCAGGATTTCGATAAGCGAGTGCGTCAAATCGAGAGCAGATTGCGCTCCGTGGAGCAGCCCATCTGGCACTTGGCCAGTGGCAGTGAGCTGGAGTGGAACCATTGCACGTCGGGCGTGTGTCGTTGTAATCCGGATACGAAGAGTTTCACCTGCTGGAACACCAATCTGAAGACGGTGCCCGTCACTCAGGTGATACCCATGAATATGGTTGCCATTGACTTGTCCCGCAATGCGCTCTCCACTCTGCACAAGGACACCTTTCGTGGCCTGACTCTGCTTAAGGAACTGGACATATCCAACAATGTGCTCGACTTTCTGCCCTTTGATCTGTTCCAGGATCTGGACAGTCTGCTCCAATTGTAAGTCCTCCTTTGACTGGCCCTTAAATATGCTAAAGACTCGATTTTCCTTCTGCTTGCTAGACGCATTCAGAACAATCAGTTGGAGGATGTTGATCCGCGCACCTTCTGGAAACTGCGCAATCTGAATCTGCTCGATCTGAGCAAGAATGAGATCGCCCAGCTGCCCGAGTCTGTGTTCTATCATGCCCAACGACTCACCGTGATCAATTTGTGCGACAATCAAATCGAGAACTTTCCGCCCAATCTGCTGCGAGATCAGCTGATGCTCGAGGAGCTGGACATGTCCCGCAACCAGATCGAGCAGCTCGTCTCGGGCAGCATGCGCTATCAGACCAAGCTGAAGGCACTCGACTTTGGCCTCAATCAAATTGGTAAGTCGAAACCAATCAAACTTCCAATATTTCTAACAACCTTCTTGCAGCCAAAATAGAGGACGACTTCTTTGAGGGACTGAAGAGTTTGCGCACTTTGATGTTGCACAACAATCGCATTACTTCCATTTCGGGCACCATTTTCAACAACCTGGTTAATCTGGTGACACTCGACCTGACCATGAATCGCATCAGTCATGTGAGTTGAAATCTGAGTTGAGATAAGTTGGGGCCTCCAGGGTTTAAAGTGGTTCTTGCTTGGCAGATCAATGGCCAGGCATTTGCGGAGCTGAAGAACCTGAATGAGCTGCTGCTGGGCCAGAATGCCATGTCCAGCATACCAGCCGATCTCTTCCTGCACGCGAGTGCCCTCACTCGCCTCACGCTCTTCTCGAACAACCTGACAACGCTGGAGGAGAATGACTTTGAGGGTCTGAGCAGCTTGAAGATTCTCATGCTGAACAACAATATATTGAAGTACTTCGATGCCAGGGCCTTTCAGCCGCTCACCCAACTCGAGAAACTGTGAGTGCAGTTGGTGAATAGTTCATTACTCACAACTAATTGCGCCCTCCTCAGTCGCATCGATTCGAACAAGCTGATGTTTCTGCCACACGGCGCGTTGCATGGCTTGGACAAGTTGGTTGCAGTTAAGCTGGACAAGAATCCGTGGCATTGCGACTGTCGTGCTCTGTATCTCGCCCGTTGGATACGAGAGTTCGTGGTGAAGCTGTGGGATGGACAGCAGCCGATGTGTCGTGGACCCGGTGATCTGGGTGGCCACGAGGTGGGCCTGCTGCGCTACGACGATCTCTGCGATGGGCAGTGGGCGAGCATGTTGTCCCTGTCGCCGCGTCTTCCGGTGCGCAAACATCGCATTTCCACACCGATGAACTATACCGACTATTTCAATTTGTACTTGAAGCACATCTACAACTCAACCACAGATGAGCAGCTCAAGGAAGCGGAGATAACCAGCGTGGCCATCAAGAAGGTTCAACTCGACTGAGATCACCACTCAATTGGAAAGTGAGTAAGCCAAACTGGCAGACAAACCACCCTAAGACAACTCTGTTCCATTTATAAGTGATTCATTTGAAAGTGAATGCAAAATAGAAACGAAGCGAAATATCGAGGATTATTCACATTCAGACCACTCTCCACAATTTATAAGTGTTGCTGCTGCTTATTTTAAATGATTGACATCCAATTGGGAAGTGAATATTATCCAAACCCAGACAACTCTGACTAATTTGTTCATTTCTTTCTGTCTGCTTATATACCAAGCAGCTTTTTGATTGTTATTTGAAATGCTAGTTTATTATCTTTTACAGTAAGCAAACCTAATTAATCTAGCTATTGCTGCAATTGCCTCAAATGCTGATTTGCCCTTGTTAGACAAGCAATTTGAATGCTTGGTTTGCCTCTTAAATTCGATGCATAATTGTTGGCGCTGTCCTTCTGCTGCTTTTGCATTGCTTCTCTATTAATTTCCAACCGCCTGCACAACTACCTTTATGGCCACATAAATGGTTTCCTCACAGGAGCATGACAAGCACCTTTCCACACCCCTCCGCCTCCACTCTTCTCCCTCGTTCACAAATTACGAGCATGTCTCGCGTGCCGGTTTGTTTTTTGCCTATGTGTCTGCGTCTAGGACAAGCTTTTTACCTAACCAATTTATTGCTTCCGCTGTTGGAGCCACCATTCCGTTGCCCTGCTTCTTCTTCAATATCAATGACTGCTCCTCCTTGGCTCGGGCTCGCCTCGGCTCGGCTGGCACTTTTTCCCATTGTCCTTGCGATTCCCATGTGTTGACATTGTCCGCGCTGCTCCATTCACTTTCCACACTTTTGTCGGTGCTGGCTGCCGGCGGCCGGCTGCCTGCTGCCTGCCACATGCCGCCCGTTTCCGGTTCCTTTTGGGTCGGATAGTCACCGACTGTCGACTGTCGACTGTAGTCTGTCCCACCCCCATCGCCAAGCAGATCCCCCACACCCCCTTCACCTTGCCACGCTGCCTTCGCATGCAGACAACAAATGCATTTTATACGAAATTTGCAAGGCAAATATTAACAAGTAAACACTTGGCTGTCGGACGTCGTCGACTGCTCAATACTCTGATCGCAATAGAAAATAGTGTATAACAAGGAATGTAACTGTAATTAATTATCAAACAGAGTCCAAACTAAACGTATATAAAAATTAAATTGTATTTAAAAATGATCCCATTTAATAATTAAGAAATTATATTTATATTAACTAATTTTTAATTAATTATAATATGCTGTTATATATGTAATAACCAGGAATGAAAACTAAAGACATGTAAAAGATAAACATAATGTATTAAAAATAGCATATTTATAATTAAGAAAACGATTAGTGGAAATGTTTTCCCTAAAAAACATACAATACATAATTAAAATTATTGTTTCAAAAATAATTGTAATTAGAATTTATTAAAAGAAAAAATCTCCAAAAATCCTATATACTCGCTTACCATTCGAAAGCAGAGTATACAAAATTGAATGCCGCCATTGTTGTTGTTCCCCCCTCACTGCCCACACCCCTCCTACTCTATCTCTCTCTCTTTCTCTCTGTTGTTGTTGTTTTTTGCGATGTCTGCGGGAGTTTTTTGGGGGCGGTGATTGCCTTTAAAGTGTGCCCTGCCAGGGGCAGGTGGAGGTAAGGCGGGGGTCGCTAAACTGTCAACCCTTTTCCTATGACACCCCCACCCCCACCCACACCTCATCCCACCAACTCCCAATATACAAAGCACAATAAGTAATCATATTTTCTTTTCTTTTTTTTATGCGCCACACACGCGTTTCACATTGTGGAGATGGGGAGGAGGAGGTGGTTCGTGTGAATCCTTGCTATCAGCGGCATCTGTTGCTGGGAGGCCGCTGCTTATCGTTGTTTTGCTTAAGGCGGAAGTAAAAGGATTTGAATTGCCTCTAAAGGAAAACAACCCCTTCTCCCGCACCACTCCCCCACACCACTGGGAAAACCTTAATGCATGTAAATTCCCTTAAGTTGAAAAATGCTGCGCAAGCAAACATTTTAACGGCATTTAGCAAAGGCCTACAAATAAATACAAAGCTTGTGGCTGTGGTGAGAAGCTCGACTTAGTCGGGTCACAAACCGAGTTGTGTTTTAGTTGCTTTTGCCTGCCGCTGCTTGAGTTTGTGGCGTTTGAGTTGCGCTCAAAGTTTTGCCACTCAAATGCTCTTGAGCTTTTTGCAGACGACTCAAATCAGTGCACAAGCGCGCCCTTTAGTCAGCAAATGTGCTCTGCGAAGGCCACTCGACTACTATCGGCTACAATCGGCTGCTGCGACGACGAAGCCATTGACACACTGAACTCGGCAATGGACTCTTACACGACTCTCTGACGTCGACGTCGCAGTCAGCAGCAGCAGCAGCTGTTGTTGTTGTTGTTTTGGCTGGCGAATGTTGGTCAAAATTTGTGATTTATTTGAAAATGTGAAATAATTTGGTTTTTATTGCGTGAGTGTGTGCGAGGGTGCAACTGCTTAAATATGATCATGGCAACAGCAGCAGCAGCAGCAGCAGCGCACAAATAAATGTAAATTTCATGCAGCCAACAACAACAACAACAACAAGAATAACAAGCAGCAAGCAGCAGCAACTGCTCCTTTGGGTCCTTTGTGGCAACTGCTGCTGCTGCTGTTGCTTCTGCTATGCCTGACCTAAGGCAACGGGCAATGGGCAACAGCAACGGCAACGGCAACTGCGAACGAGCCGCACAAAATTTGACTAAAGCAAATTCACTTAGACGTCGCCTGGCTGCCACGTTGGCCTTTACCACGGCCAAAACTTTTTGCCACACTCGAACTCATGCATATCTGTATATATATATGTATATATGTATATATATATATATATATATATGTATACATACATACACTCAGAAAAAAACATAAATAAATAATAGTAAATAAATCAAATCCATTTAAAAGAAAGCATTTTTGAAAAATCTACACCGAAATGAAGATATGCCAATCATGGTTTTTGGAAAGCAACAAGCTTCAAGTTTAGCAACTGTCTTATGCCTTGTCGGCAAAAGTATGCCGGATTTCTGAAATTCAGTCTGATTTTTTGCTGAGTGTATATTTATATATATTTAGCACATGCTGCCCAAAGCGCGCATACGGAGTGTGTGGGTGTATTCGGGTGTGTGCGTGTGTGTATGTGTGTGTATTTGGCTGCCACTTTCGCATAAAAATGCTAGTCTTTGCTTGGTCCAGTGAATACTTGTGTGTGTGTGTGTGTGTGTGTGTGTGTGTGCAGTTGGTTTTGTGGCCACGCGTTCATTCAGCTCCAGCTCCAGCTCCAGCTCAAGTTCGAGCTTTGCGTTTGTCTGTCTGCCTGTGTGTCTGTCTGCTGGCTGTTAGCTGTTCAAGCTGACTGGCTGGCAAACGTGGCGTATACTTAATTCGGTTTATGCTCGAACGTGTCGCACATTATTCTTATGAGTCGACAACGACGACGATGTGTGAAATATGCTATGCTATATGTGTGTGCACACCAATACTGATTAGACACACACACACACACACATAGCTAGAGAGAGAGATTCACAATTGACACGCGATAAGCCAAAGAATTAAAATTTTTGTTTCAATTTGTTTGATTTTCACTATGGCGCAGCAGCAAATGGAAATGCAAATGCAAAATGGTGGAAAATTTGAGAAAAGTGAGAAAAATATGAGAAAATTGGTGCCCATTGAAGGGCACTGTAAAATCAGGGCAGACAAATGGAAAACTGCTGCAAAAGGCACTAGAAAATAATGCCAAGTCATTTTATTATTATTTTTTTACAGCAACTGTGCCACAGCTGTGTAATATATAATAATAAAATATATAATTTATCCATTTGGCTTATGCTATAGAAAAAAAGTCATTGCTCGTGGCTTACATAATTTTAATCATAATGTATTTTGTATGTGCGGGCCAAGTGAAAGGGAACTGTAAAGTTTTAATTTCCATTTTTTATTACTTTAAATGTGTTTGGGTTTTTCTTGTTTTTTTTTTTTTTTTGTGAGTGGGGCCAGCTTTTTGTGGTTAGTTTTTGCAGCATTTTAAACACAGCTATGAATATGCTTTTTTTTCTTCTTACTCACCTAATGGCTTCTTTCTCTATCTCACTCTCTTTCTCTATCTCTCTCTCTGTCTCTCCTAGGCCAACTCAGTGGCCAACTCTCAACTCTTAGCTTGGTTTTTTTCCCTGTCCGCGGGCAACATTTATTGGCTTGACGACAAATTTTTATCGCCCAGTTTTAGTTGTCGGTCTGTGGCTGCATATGGCTCTGATTTCTTCTCACCTACTCTCGTACCCCCCATCTCATCCCACATCTCCTGATCCATCCCTGCTCGTGGCCTCTTTCGTGGGTTTTTTGAAGGGCAACAAAAGTTTCGGCAGGCGACAGACTTCAAACTACCAACTGCGGGTCTAATCATATTGCCAACCTTTCGGTTACGTGATGCATTTTTACAGGACCTTTAGACACAAATATATATATATATATATGTAGAAGTATATTTGTGTGTATAGTTTGAGTTGCCTCACAGCTCACAATTTGATTTCTGATTTGGGTATGCGCGAGAGTGTCTTGGCACGCCCCGCTGGCACAATGGGCGGTTGGGAAACTTTGCGCACGAAATGAGATTTAAAATATAATAATAATAAAAATATAAAAATATATAAAAACTATGGAAACCAAGCACAACTTCTATCAAATCATATACAGTTTATTGATTCAAGAAAATAAGGATTAACCGAAATCTAATAAAGATCATAGAGCAACCCTTGCTAGATTTAGTGTCAGTTGTTTTATTATAAACTAAAGCATAACGGAACTCTTTATCTATCTATTCACTACAGAATAACGATTAATCGCAATCAAATAAAGGACACAAATATCTCATAAAATCTATTGATTAAAGAAAAAATGAAGCCCATAGCATGGAGCACGTAAAGCTTATAGAGAAATCCTTTCAACATTTAATGCCGAGTATAATAACAGAAACTGATGGATTTTAAATAAACTTTTATTTTGTTCAACTAGTTCAAATTTCTATTTATATTGTTCGAATATCAAAACTAACCACAGTAGCAAATAAATCACTGCATTTTCAAATCGAACTTGCTTTTTTTTATTGGTGCTGTGTGTGTGTGTTTTTTTTTTTAGCTGTTTTGTAGCCATTGTGTTTGTGATTCGCTTTGGCGCATTCGACATGTCAGAATTTGTGGATATTCTGTTTAAATACCGTAATGAAGTCTGCTTATACAATATAATGTACCGTGTTTGTGCTACGTGCCTTGGTTATGTTATTGCACGCCGATCCCAGCTTCCGCTTCAGCATCCGTCAGCAGCAGACGGCGGGAAGGGCAGCAAGGACTTCCTCTCTGCGTCTCTCTCCCTCTCTATGTGTTGGCAGTGGCTGGTGTGTTTTTATATATTTGTGCGCCGGCAAATCTTAAACTTGTTTTACTGCTCGTTAGTGTTAGTCGCTAGCTAGTCGGCAACCAGGGCAAACAGGCAGCAGCCAGGAGAAGCCAAGAGTTGGTATCGCCACCATGACACCCTATTGTTATAACACGTTCCACGCTCGCATCAGCATTGCCATCATCAGGTTGAGGTCGGAGCATGGAAATAGCATTGGGAATGGGAATGGCAATGGCGTATAAAAACAGAGGCAGTGGCAGAGTGTGGCGAGACTGAGACCCAGACAGAGAGGCTGCTGCTGCTGCTCTTGATGTTGAGCTAAATTCTGAGTCTGTGTTTGGCAAGCAGTCAGCAGCCATGGAGTACACTGAAAGTAGTTGGTGGCTTGGCTGACTGGCTGACTGGTTTGTGTGTTTATGCGTGTGCCAAGGTGCATGCTAAGTGCCACATCCGACTAGCAACTTATGGGATGGGTTTCGATGGGTTAGCCACATCGTTTGGCGCTGGCCCTGGTAAATGTTTGTCCAGCATAATTGCGCACAGCATGCAGTTTCCTTTTAGCCATCGTCTTTTGCCGCCTCCACTTTTATCGTTTCCGACATTGGCTTTGCTTTTCAATTTGTTGCAATCGGCTGCTGCTGCTGGTCGCAGTTAACGTTGCCTGTTGGCTATAACAGCTTTAAAGGATTTGGCAACTTGTTTACGTGGCGTATTACCAATATTTTGCTAGAAACGAGTCTCTCTCTCTCAAGTAAGTGCCGCAGCCGGCATTGTAAATTATTTACGTATTGCCTGCTTCACTAACTAATTTCAGCAAGGCCACAAATTGTTGTTATTACTCTTGTTGCTAGCTGTCTCCCTTCACTCTCGCTCTCCCTCCATCGGCCACAAATACTGTGTCTGGGGTTGTTTGAAATTCAATATACTTGTATGATATATGGAGCGTTGCTTATTTTCCGCAAAAAGTGAATAATTTGTATGCATTTGAAGTACACAAATTGTCAGACATTTCCTATAATATATAACTTAAAATTAATAATAATTGCTGCAATTTGCCAGCAAAAATTGTATTCAATTTTCGGCAAATAGTTTCTTAGGCTGGCAATTTGTTAGTGTCTCAGAAAAGCGACTGTGACTGGCCATGACAATTACAGTTTCGTGTTTAACCATAATAATCTGCTCAGTTGTTTGTGTAATTAAACAAACAATAAACCCCCATGGTGGAACACACCAGTGGAAATGAACAGAGATGAGCAGAGATGGGATCCCTAAAACCCCAAAGTCGAAACCACTTGGGTGCTCCTCTTGTTTGCTGTTTGTTAAATATTATTATTGCCATAGCTGATGCTGCTGTTGTTGTTGTTATATTTGTACATTGGATGAGATTTAAAATGGTTTAATCAACTGTCTCTACATGGATATATAATTTATATATTTATATGCGTTTGGTTTTTGTGCAAATATTTTGGTTTAGTTTGGCAAAAGTTGACCCAAACTGTGCGCAGTTTTGCGGTTGTTAGTTGAAAATGTAATCAACAATATTTTCGTTTGCTTTGCTTTTTCGCCCATTTGAAATGCTCAATCCTCAATAATCTTGGGCTTAGGCACATAGACGAAAACTGTTCAGCAATTTGAAGATTTAAGCAAACACTCAATATTAAATATTGAATATTAAGTATTTTTATACCCATTTCGATGCACAACTCAATTAAGAAGCCATTTAAAAGATTAATTAATATGTAGATATTTTTATTATTTATTTATTGTTGTTTCGTTATATAGTTATATAGTGTGGGTATATATGTATATTGTGTATGGGTGTGTATTTGATATAAACACTAACTAGCGTTCGATTAAATTGTATATATCACTTAAATCATAATTATTAAATTGCTGGTTAATAACTGCATCAATACAAATTAAGCGGCCAATTCTTAAATGCACATTTGCGTAATCAAATTTTATGTATGTATATTTAATTTTGATTGCCCCTTATTCTATATGTGGCAAGTTGTTGTTGTTGTTGTTGTTGTCTGCCCACTGTTATTGATATCTATAGTTATCATCATCATCATCATCATCATTATAAGTAGGATTAAGTGCGCGTAAGCATCCCATTGATCATTATGTTGGCGAGGGCGTTGCGTCGCTTACGCCACGCCCCCATACCCTGGGCGTGATATTGGAGTTGGGTATACCACTGTTTTGTCCGCACCCCATCCTCGGCCTGTGAATTAACAACAAAAGGAGCAGCGGTTAGACATATTTGATTGACTCGCCACTTTGACAGGTGACACGTGTCTGTGTGTGTGTGTGTGAAAGTTATGCGCATGTGTCTGTGTGTGTGAAAGTTATGCGTATGTGTGTGTGTGTGTGTGTGTATGCTCAGTTGGCCGTAACTAAACGTTACAATTTATGCAGCCCCTACTCTGCACTCTGCCCTTTCACTCAGCAGCCATTTTGTTGCGCTTCTCTGCGCTCCTTTCTTATCCATATCTTCTGCTGCTCGCTGCCCCATTTTATTTTTCTTTTTTTTTTTTTAAATTTCAATAAATGTCATTCATTTTGGCAGGCACTCTACGTGCGTTGCCGCAACGCACTTCACAAAAAATAAAAATGAAAATGAATATGAAAAAGAACAATCCAATCCAGCAATGCCTCGGGGCAGAAATGCGCTAGACTAAGCCGAAGCTCGTTTTACATTAGACAGGATTTAAAATGGATTTCTGCATATGCTGCTCTTTCTTTCTTTCTGGTTTGCCAGTTTTTGTCTGTTATTAAAAATGGAATCTCTGCCAACCCCACAGGTATGCCACACACATACACACACACTCAAATTCCACCTCTCATCAACTCTTCGTCTTTGCAGAAAGAGAGAAAAACACATTTTTATTCGAGTTGCTGAATTAGCGGGAAAATGGGAAATGCAAAAGCGTAGTCAGCAAATGTAGCCCGGGGAATTTGTTATTTATATGTGTGTAGATTACTTTTGATTACAGTTTTGATTGACAAACTCATCAGTCTGATCAAAAGGGTAACGAGTTTTGGTATATTTAAATGTTGAGTATTTTTAATTGATAATTTTGATTAGAAAAGTTTCGAAAACACACATCACTCTGGAATGGAATCGGATTTTGGCATATAAGTTGTTGATTCTCTTCAGTTAATAATTTGTATTATTGATTGACTTTTTGTATATATGTTTATGTGTTGATTCCCACCAATTTTACTAGTTTCTTCTAGCTCAATGATTTGATATTTGGCTATTAGCTTTAATTATTCCAACTAAGATAGATCTTCATTGACCTATAGAATGTTAATTCTATTCAATTCCATAAATTTATTCTAGCTCAACCATTTGATACATGTCTATAGCTGTTATAACTCTATCTTAGTTAGATATTCAATAGGTGCACCTTCGTGAGAATCGCTTTTATTGATATAGCTGCTTGAATTTAAATTATTTTGTTTTTTACTTCAATATTTGCACACAAATCTAGCTTTCGTTGGGCGTCAAAAGTTGGCAGCAAGGGGTTTTGAGCTACACCAACCCAAAAGAGACTGGGAAGGTCACTAAACGGCAGGGCCAAAAACTAACGAAGCCCAAACATTTGCCGGTGTGCAGTCAAAAGGCAAACGAATGGTCTAATTCGAAAGCCAAGTGAACTGGCACACACGGCATGGAGGAGCAAGCAGTAAGGAGCAAGCAGTAAGGAGCAAGCAGCAAGGAGCAAGCAGCAAGGAGCTCCTTCAAGCCCAACCGAATCAAACCGAAACGAACCGGATTCGGAAAGGGCAAAACAATAACGGCTGCTATGAAAATGGAATGACAATGTGTTGTAGATGTTGTAGTTGTAGGTGGAGTAGGATCTAGAATCTACTACTACAACTACGACTACGACTACGGCATACTCACTTTGAATATGAATGTGTCCTTCGATGAAATTTCCTGCACTTCGAAATAATCATCCCAATCCGCTTCGCTGCACACAACACATCTGTCCAGATATAATGGCTCCCGTATCAGTGTATAGCGTCCGCACTTCTCCTTCACTAGTAGCAGGGAGGCCTCTCGGATGCCAGTGTGCTTCGGGAAATTCAGTTTATCCGACATGGCCTTCTCCTCCCTATAATTGGCACTTGGCTGTTCTCATGCCAAAGAGCAGATACAAAAAAAAAAAAAAAAAAGAAATACAGAAAAAACGTAAAACGAGAAATAAATAAAAATAGAAAATTGTGTAAAATGAAACTAAACAAAATTACAACTGGAAAATGCGACAAAAGTGTGGGCAGGCAGGCAGTGGCAGTGGCAGCGGCAAGGGCAGCCAGGGAGCCAATGGCTGCCCTCTTAGATAACGCGAGCAGACACACAAAGCTTGTCAGCCAGCCAGGCAGGCAGGAAGCAAGCAGAACAACCAACCATCCAGTAGTAAAACTACGAAGAGAGCAAAAAACAAAAAAAAAACCAACGTGCTCGTTCTTGAATTGAGCAATTGTCGGCTGAGGCTTTTTGCAACAATTTAGAATAGGGCAACAAAAAAAAAAACGAAACAAGTGACATACGCACTGCGTCGACGACATCGATGTAGCCTGCCACCTCATCCACCCCTTTTTTTGCATAGGTCCTTGAGTCCCTTCGATACTACGTTTTTGTTTTTGTCTTGTTGAGAAAATTCGTTTTGTTTTTAGGCATCAAAAGCAGATAGTTGCTGGGATAAGCACTTTTCATTAGAATGGGCCGGATACGCTTCCGTTCCACTTGATGACTCTCCATGGACACTCCATGGGTCTCTGATTTGTTGAAATCTTTTATCGCACGCCAAGCTGTTGCCATGACATCAGCATACTACCGGACTAGCCACCCTCCAGGCATCCAGGCAGGCCTGATCCTATCCAGAGGCTGGGCTATTAGGTGCAAGTGCCACTCGCTAATTGCCCACACCTCAACTCAAATCTGCTGCACGTCGATTGTCGTTTGTCGCTTGTCGCCTGTCGTCTGTCAAACGTGACCAGCCGTAGCAAAAGAACTAACTGACTCGTGGTGACTGGCAGAGACGGACTCGTGGCAATTGTGGCTGGTTAAAGCCAAGGAATACCGCAACATGGAAAATGGCAAAGCATTTGACTATCGTGAATTTTTTTTTATTTGCAACCAGTTTTATTATTGTCACAAAATGCGTGCCAAACCATGCAAAATCTGAGCTTATGCTTAAAGTGAGTCTCTACATGCAATTTGGCTTAGTTATTTGCTATAACTTTGCTCATTGCTATAAGTTGGTCAAAACTGAAGCGATTTGCAAAAGATAACGTGATTCTTGGTTGAAACTCATGTAAAACTCCTGGACCAAAAATAAAGTATGAAAATGAGTCTAAGCTTCTTAGAATCAGAACTTTGCCAAAATTGAACCAATTTTGAAATGCCTGGTCGGTTTGATCATTATTTGGCCTCTAAATTAATCCCACATTTAAATTTAAAAACGTGATTGTGAGTCGAGACTCCTCTGAAATATCCCATGCTGCTGCTGCTCCTGCAAGAGAATAATTTCAAGAGTGGCACTCGAGACTCACGCGCCTGTTTACACATCACTTGCGCAGCTCCCTCTCACTTTTCATCTCCCTCTCTCTCTCTGTCTCACTTACCTTGCCATTGGTGACGAGGAGAGCATTGAGTGGGGTCAGCTTGATAGTGCGCGCCTTCTTCCAGTTGCTGTCTGTGGGCTGCATGTAGAGCAGTTTGCCCTCCATGGCGAAGCGGACCTCATCGTGATTCCACTCGAGTATGTCGATGGCCATTTTGCGCAACTTGATGTTTATCATGTCAATTTCACAGGAGGCGCGCCGATTCGGACTGGATGAGCTGATGCGGCGCCAGAGTTTGGTCGGCACATCCTTGGCCTCCTGGTTGATGTGATTCAAATGCAATTCAATTTTCTCCTGCGCCTGCTTCAGCAGCTCACGCCCATCGAGATGTGACGGCGTCACCTTGTACAATCGTGCCAGCAGCAACGGATACTTGGTCACACGCTGCACGGGCACCTGCAAAATGGAGGGGACTTTAGAGAATACAGAAAAAGAGGAGCAAAAAGAGTTTGGCGTCTGCTTACCATGAGAAACGAGTTGAGATTCATGCGACGCAGCACAGCATTCTCCATTTGGGAGACCTTTAGAAAGATGCGCAGCAGTTCCTTCTCCTTCTCGAGATTGGCAAGGAGGAGGCTGGCGCCCGCCTGCCGCACGCAATAGCTTTCGAAGGCGTGCAGCATTTGGGTGAAGTCCAGGAAGATGCGTCCAATGTTGACGGTGAGCAGATCATCATCGCCCTGCTCCAGCGATATGTCGAGAGCGTCCCGCATCCGCTCGGCCAGCGTCTGATTATTCTCGAGCAAGTCTTCCGTGTTGAGGAAGATTGCGGAGAGCTGCTCCTGGGTGAGCAGGCCGGCCACCAGCATCGGATGGCAGAATTCCTCCAGTATTATTTGCAGATCGCGGCCATATTTCTCCTCCGTCTCCACAATTTCGGTGATTATCTCCTTGCGTTCGACCCGCTTCTTGCCACACTTGCGGCACACCAGTGGCGCATATAATACACCCGTTTCGCTGAGTTGCGTTTCGACGGCGCCATCGCAATCCTCGCACAGATGCAGAGGACTCACCGCTGGCTGGTATTTGCTGCGCGAGGATTTGCTCGTCTCGGAACCAACGCCTGAATCCTGGCGTTCCACATCACTGCCACCACAGCTCTTGCTGCAGGCCATAAAGTTGTGTGGCGGCGGCGACAGAGAGCTCATCATATTCAGGCTCTGGCAGGCATCATCGTTGCTGCTGGTGACATGGCTGACACGCTTCTCCAGTTCGCTGAGCGTATCGCTCGCCTCCTCCTCGATGATCTTCGGATTGTTGCTGTAGTCGAAGCTCTCCTCGCGCACCAATCCACGCTCCTTGGCATCCACCAGGTACGAGAGTATATCATACTTCGAGGCACCCTCGAATATGGACCGTGCCGACTTCTTATCCAGCTCCGCATCGCTGAGTGGTGGTGCAGTCAATGGTAGTGGAGGTGGCACCTCATTAATTTCCTCATAAATCGGATCCCCATTGAGGCGAATTGACTCGTAATGATGCTCCGACTCCGAGGCACTGTGCGTATTCTCAATCTCCGCAAGTGTGGCATCCACCAGTAACTGATAGAATTTGGCGCGTGTTGTGGCATCCACATCCGGATGCGACTGCGACTGCTGTTGCTGCTGCTGCTGCTGTTCCTGCTCCGATTCTTCCACAGCCAGTTCGCTGGAGCAGCTCTGATAGCAATCGGATTCATTGGCGGCGGCCTCAAAGTCAAACAGCTCATAGTTGTGGGCTGAGGCGAAGCTGTTGGCGGAACTGATGCTGCCCCGATTGGACAGACGATCCTCCTCTTTGGCATTGGACGTTCCAGGCTGTCGCTCCTGGCGCACCCGTTGCAGCGACACGCTAATCAGGCGACTCATGTCGTCGTGATCTTTGGTGCCGCTCATATCGACAGTTTGTCGCGTCTGCTGCAATCTCTGCAGCGAGTTCTCAATCAGCTCCGCTACCGTGTCCGTCTCCAATCCATCGGCCACCTGTCCCAGCATGGGATCCTGCAACAGTTTGGCTATAAAGCTACCACTACTACTAGGGGATTCCCTAGCGGGTGTTGCCTCTTCCTTGTTGGTGGTGGGTGACTCCTGCATCTTTTTGCTGCGTGGCGAGTCCACTGGCGGCACCCTCAAGCCGCAGACATGCGGCACCAAATTCCGTTTGACAGCCTCGACGGGATTACGCAAAATCTTTAACAGCTCCTTCTCGTGCGGCACCAGCGGTGGCGATGCTGGCGGTGGTGGTGTTGCTGGCGTTGAGCTGATTACAGGTGGCGGCGGCGGTGGCGATGGTGTATTAATCGGTGTCGTTGTTGTGGCAGCCACCTTTACGCCCTTGGGCAACTCCTTGTCCTTGTCATAATCGAGCCGGATGAGTGTGCGTCCGCGTCCACTGGAGCTGCTGCTGCTCGACGTCGAGCTGCTCGACGTGGACGAGATACAGGAGGCGGAACGATGTAGATGCAACTCGCTGGCATTGCTACTGCTACTCCGGATGGGTATAATGGCTGCCAGCTGCTGTTGCTGCTGCTGTTGCTGCTGACTACGCAGAGTGTTGAGCAGATTGTGCTGCTGGATGAGCTCCTCTGCGCTGCTCACACTGATGCAAACACTGTTCGCCGTCTGGCTGTTGACCACAACGGAGGATTGGTACAGTGGTTGGGCGGCATCGGTGCTGAGATTCATTGTGGAATAGCAATCGTCACCGTTAATCAATATCGATGTTTTCTTCGGTGCCACATCTACGTCAAGCTCGGAGTATCCTTGAGCGTTCCTTGAGCAGGGTGAGCGCAGCATGGCAGTGTGATCCAGGAGAAGCAGCAAAGGATGCTCGTCCTGTTCGCTGTGCGAGATTTTCAAACGATGTACCTCGTGGCCGCCGTCGCTTTGCTTGTTGAAAGGCGCCACTCGCACCACAGTCCTCTGCTGCTGTTGCTGCTGGGGACCAGTTGACTTATTGATTTGGTGTGGTTGTGGCGCTGGCTTCGTCTGCGGCTGCTGCTGCTGATGCTGCTTCTTCTCTAATCCGTTTGCGTTTGCGGTCGTCTCCGTCTTTGGGGTATGCTGCTGCTGTTGCTGTTGCTGTAGCTGCTTTGGGGGCGGTGGTGGCGGTTCCGTTGGCCGCCTTTGAAATAAATCTCTCGAGTCGTTGCGGTTGCTTTTTATGCGCAGCGCCATTGTATCCTTAAAATTTAAAATGACATTCGTTGGCGCAGACATGGGCCTAGCCTGCGACACAGCCTGGCCATGCTGTGGCCTCGCCTTGCCAATGCTGTTGTCGTGGTTGGTCACAGAGAGAGTGGAAGCGCTGTTCGGGGCAGACAAATGCCTTTCGCTATGAGCGCGTCTGATGGGATTTCGCGATTGTGTCGCTTGTGCTGCACGCTTTTGACTTGCTCGCGGCCTTACAGCCATCTCGTGCTCCTGCTCCTGCTTCTGCTCCTGTGCCTCCCCACTCTCTTTGCGCTCTCCAATCTCAGCCAGGTCCTTGCTGCTGTCGTTGTGCTCGTCATCATCGTCATAATCGCGATTTGCTGCTGTCGTCTTTTGGGCCATTGTTATTGCTGTTGCTGTTGTTGTTGTTGGTGTGGCGCCTGCAAAAGAGTAGTGGGATAAAGGTTGAGTGGCAAGTGGTGAATCGCGTGTCGCAACTAACAAAATGTTACTTCTGTGAAAGTAAGCCGAATACAGCCAAGGCAAGCAAAGAAATGGCAGAGCAAGGAGAAGTTTTTGTTTGACTGTGGCTTAGCCAACATAATGATACTGTTCAGCAGAGCACAGAAGTCTAATTACATATCAGCCAATAAATCGAAGCTAAAAACGAGACTATAAACTGCAGCTTTTAGCTGTTTTCTGGCTAAGTGTTCGTGCTTTGCGGCAGCTCTGCAACTTTCTGCATGCAGATTTCTATGCCACTGCCATAGCAAGCAGCAGCAGTAGCCAGTAGTTAAGGTCACACCCACTCAGTCACCCCAATTCCGTTGCCCTTTCTTCTCTGACAACTTCTCTGGCCCGCTCCCCCGCCGCCCCTCCTCTGTCCTGGTCACGTTGACAGCCACTTAAAGATGTGCTTGCCAGCGATAAGGTGTTTTGTTTTGGTTTTTGGCTGCGGCAGCGGCTTTACCTCACCTCCCTCTTCCCTCCTACCTCCTTCTTCCTTCCTCTTCCACGCGGCATTGCCATTCTCCTTTTCCCTTACTCGCTGACAATATGTACATATCTTTATTTATGGTAAATTGGGTGATTTACGTTGCGGCCGATAAGCGCTGCTTTCAGCGTCTGTCGCTTTGCTCCTTGGTCCTTGTCGCTGTTTGGTTTTGTTCGGTTAGTCTCGACTTGGCTTGGCTTGGCTCGGCTTCACTTCACTCTGGCTTGGTCCGTCCGTCCAATGTCCTGCGATGGCATTTGAATTGCCAGTCAGCTCAAGTCCTTGACTTGGAGGCTGCTGCTGCTCAGCTGCTCAGCGGTGCTAAATGGCATTGTGGCATTATTTGGGCTATTATTTTTCGCAAAAGTCGGGTTAAAGGCATCGCCTGCCGCCAACCAAGACAAAAAGACGACGGCTGTCACCGCAGGCAACTGCCGGCGATATTCGCGGCAGCCAAACAATTTGTGTCGGAATTAAGATAATAGATTACATTTAAATGTTTTCTGTTTTTTTAGAGAAAGATAGCAGAAAAAGGGTTTCTTTTGCACGCGTATCTTTTTGAAATTTGACGTCAGTGGCGACGATAACTACACCAGCAGAGCAATCCAGAGCCACCCATTAGCACCCACTCAGCCACACCAACCACCTGCCACCACACTTGCGTCCTTGAAGTACAGCAGCAGCAGCAGTAGCAGCAAACGTCCTTATCAGGCTCGCCTCTTGTCCATTTTAATGAGTGTGAAAAGTGAGCTGGTTTTATGGCCGTCACACTGGTTTTGGCATCAGCTCTTTTCCTTTTGTTTTTGGGCCACGTCCAAAGGTGGACGTTTTATGTTAATGAGTGTCATCAACGCTGGAGATTTGAGCTGCTCAGTGCTGCTGCACTCTGAACCCCATTCTTTGCTTCCGCTCCAGCTTCAACTTCAACTTTTATGGTAGTATAAGCTCGTATTAATGATGTACATCTGTCAGAGCGAAACCGGGGTTGTGGTTGAGTGGCATTGGCTTTGGCTTTGAAACAAATTAATTATGTTGTGGCAGCCACTTGAATTTCAATCGAACCTTTGTGCGCTAATCTCATTTAACCAACTTAGTTTTCTATGCAAAACAGCGACAAATTACAACAACAAATAGCTAAAATAATAACAAGAAGCAGCATCACCAGCAGCTGAGGCAAAACTACAATTAGAGCTGAAATTGTTAGGGCGAAAAGAAAATACGAAAAACGAAATCAACTTTTCCCATTCATTTCCTTCACTTTCCTGGTTGGCTTTCCTTTTTGCCGACTGCTACTCCTTTTTTTATTCCTCTCTTCTTAGTGCCACGCAGAGACTACTAAATGCCACCTGCTTAGCTCAACTTGAGTCGGAGCCACTTAATGAGATTTCAGGTTCAAAATTACATTCGGTTGTCTTTGCGTTGAAATATTTAATTAACACCTTTTGTTCTCGTGCTCGTTGTACAAGATATCTTTTGTTTTACAACAGGCAAGTAAGATTTGAACGTGATATTTCTTAAAGTTGTCTTGGAAATGCAATTTGTTGTTGCCAACTAGGACTTAGAACTGACTAAATTCATCTTTATCGTAGTCAGCAGAGTCTACTTGCTTTATGTCACATATGGATTTGATGGTTTTTATTTGTCATCGAATTGAAACGCTTTAATTGAATGCAATTGATATACAAAAGTTGTTTTTGGATTTTTAGATTTTGCATTTTTAATTAAATTAAATGTCCCAAAACAGAGAGTCGAGCAGTAGCCCAAAAATCAATCTCCACACAGAAATATTGTTCTTCATTCCATTATTACTATTACAAAAACAAACAAGCATACACATATACATATATACATATATATATATATATATATATATATATATAAACATATATGTTTTCTATATGTTGGAGTAAGTAAAATGGATAAGCAGTGAATCGAGTTGGGCCTAACGACCCGTATTGGTGGGCGTGGCTATGTGGGCGTTGGTCCATTACAAATGTGGCTGTGTGTGCATTTGAGAAGAAAAAGTAATTAAAAGTGTTACTTGTCGGGATTAGTAAAACATTTTAATTTAGTTGTTGCACAAAAGCGAACAGACAGCAACGAGCAGACAAGGCGAAAGGAGAGTGGAGAGTGGAAAAAGGGCAAATCGAGTAGCGAGTCAAACTGAAATGGGTCAATAAATCCGAGCTTAATTTTATTGCTCGGCGCACTCTTCTCACTACTATTTCGCAGAGGCGAACTTTGAGTATGGCAAATGGCGAATGGCGCAAACGGAAAGCGAAGAAATATAAATCGCAATGGTAAACAAATCAAAATAAATGAGTAACAAAAGCAACGGCGAGCCAAAGTGAACAGCTGCCACGCCCCCCACCCACCGCCCTCTTCAACCAACCCACACTCAACTTGCTGACAAGCTGACAAACTGACTTGAGAGTCTGAGAGCAGCTCGCTGGCAAACTGCCGAGCAGCAATTGGGTTTTGGGATTGCAATAGGAATTGGGGGAGAACGTTGGGCAGGGATTGGAATTGGTATCGGACGAGCTCTGGCAATGTAATAATATTGCTCAAGAATAAGCACTCGCTGCTTGCTGGCTGGCAGCAAACATTGTGTACATTTTGACTCATTTCAATAAGAAAATAGCACGACGAGGAAAAAATTTGCTATCCGTAAAGGCCAAAACATGTCTGAGGAGGGGCGTGACATACTAGCTGTTGTTGCTGTTGCTGATGAGAATGTTGGGAATAAAGCATATAAAGTCGCATTAGAAATGCACGAGTTGATTTGAGTTTCATTTTGGTAGTGAAATAAGCAAACAATGCCCATTGCAAGCAACAACAACTGAGCAGTAACAAAGTGCAACGTAAGGTGGCATCCAAAAAACAGAGCGAAAAAAGGGACACAAGACAAGAAGTGCTGCTTCGATTGCTCTTTACTGCTAGAGTCGTGTTGTCGTGGCACGTTTTGTCATTTCCGTACTGCTTGCAGGACTCCAGTTGCTGCTTCCAATGGTCTCCCTTTCGCCCTTTGGCTCTATTTTGTTTTGGCTGCTGCTTTTAAATGCGCGTAAACTACTTAAAGGAAGCAACAGACAACAACGTTGCCTATATTATATTTACTCCAGTTTAACAGCAGTCCGACAACAACAACAACAACAAACAAGCTGAGGCTGCTGTCGGCGGGGGGAGGGAAAAACATATTGCTAAAGCGCAAAACAGCGAGCATAAGATGCGTTGAAAATCTTTTATCAGTGAAATTATTTGCCCAGGGACAACGTGCAAAATGAATGCGCCCAAATGGCAAAAAATAAGCAGGAAAAAAGGAGAAAAATATAAATATAATGCGCTGGGAGGGCGAACACAAAAGCGAACTGGCCAAAACAAGTCTGGCCCCGAGTTGCAGGCCAAATGTGTTGGAAAATTTCTTACGGCGGGCCAACGTTATAACAACGTTGCGAAAAGCGTTTTTCCTTCGCTGTGTGGAAATCTGCGCCAGCGCCAAGAAGTATGCTACACTTTTCTTTAATGGCAGTCGCGTCCTTTTCATGTCAAAACAAAAAGAAGAGAGAAAAACAATAGAAAAGATGGGTGAACAGCAATGCGATACCCTAACAATAAATTGAACTCACAGTAAGTAGTAGCTTTAAACTGAGCTGGAAATAGTTGTTTCTTTTAAGCTGCCAAATTTTGTATTGAATTATGATTATCTGTTAGATAATCAACCACTTTTGCTAGGGTATCTGCGGCATCGAGCAAGATGTGGCCTCCCAAAGGGGAGCAGCCGTAAAAAGGTAGAATTATGTTGCTGCTTTTATGGCTGGCCAGCATTTTTTTTGGAGGCGTGGCCAGTTGTAGCTGTTGCTGTTGCTGCTGCTGCTTCTGCTCACCTGACTGCTGCAGACATGACTGCATTATTTAAAGAAGAGCAGCAGCAGCAACAACACAAAGAGTAGAAGCAGGCCAAGAGCAGCAGCAGCTCTAAATGCAATTAAAGCGCCGCTGCAAGGACGGAACCTTTCAGAAATCTACTCGTAAAATTTGCGCATGCATTGGCAGACAACAGAGATACAGCCAGGCACAACAAGCAGCAACAAAAACAATAGTTGAAGCGGAAGCTGTGCACAAGTTGCAGGCAACTTCTAAAAATACTAAAAATACTTAATTTAGCTAGAAAATGTCACTGGCTTTTGTTTCTCAGCACGCGTAGCTGCCGCACACTCCATACCCCTCTCACCCGGCAGCCCTGACCCCCGAATTGAAGCCACACCTGAGCAACCCTTCAGCGCTCCTGTTCTGCCTGCTCTTTTTAGCTGCTGTACGTGCAAGCCTCAAAGCTCTATGAGTGTGTGTGTGTGTGTGCTAAGTGCAGTCATGTCTGCTTCTATCTCTCTCTCTCTCTCTCTATGTGTGTGTGTGTGTGTGTGTGTGCATTAGAAACGCTTATGACAA